CAGAAACTAGGAGAAATTGGTAATTAGATTCTTATACCTGAATGTCAGAGTAGCAAAGCACCTACAGAAAATTTAGTAGCTACGTGAGTGAGTTAATAGTCATGATGAGACGTGTTCTGGTATCATTAAAGCATTGCATTTTGCAGCTCGGCGAGAATGTCATTCTGAATAATCCTGGTTCAATATTAGCACATTGAGTAAACTGGCAGGAAAAGCGTCACGAAACTGCAAATCGCTCCTAATTTTTGATGCAAATAAAACATTCCGATCGTCATCCCAATCGTCAAGGCAAACATTAATCTTTTAGCCAGTAAACCTCAATTTCCAACATGATACACGTATTATATTAGAATGTGTTTGTATATACCAGTAACACTCGGCTTAGCGCTCATTTGAATTATCGGGGTTTAAATTTAGAACTGGAATTGGTGTATTTAAGGAAACTGATAAGATATGGCGCATCAATATTAAGCAAAGGGGGCTTTATTATAAAAATACCTCCGCGAACTGGAATGAGGCTGGTTTGGCACACCATGTTCAATTCGGTTTAGATGGTGGGCTTTTATGCTAAAGGCCAGCGTTGATTAACCAAAGCAGTTGAATCATTAGCAATTTTTGAAGATGATTATGAAACATCATCTCGTCTCGTCATCACTTTGAGGAAGCAGTAATATGAAGAGTGTCCTTCTTCGGCCTCGGATTGTTCCTTTTGCAATGATGAACATTTTTTCGGAATAATTTTGTTCGCATTGCAACTGCATGGTCATTCCATTGAGAACCCATGCATGCATACCATAAAATACGGAGTACTATAAATAGTTCCATTTCAACATGGTTGGGTTATTTTTAGAACGAAATCGTGAAAAACCTTATAACCGGTATATCGGGACACCATTTAAAAGCGCCGCATTAAATCAGGGTGGTAATCAAGATCAAGGCTGGTTTTATGGCGGTTTATTTCATATGGCTGTCAGAAGACGACCACAAATTTGATCTGCTGCAGTGGAGTAGGTCAAATTTCAGTCTTCCATTTCTCGCTTTGTGATGTTTTTTTGGTTTTATGCCTGGGAATTTCATAGTACTCGCGATGGCACTTGAATTAAAGGTCGCCGCTAAGAAAAGTGGCCTTCAACTTCAAAGTTTCACTTGTCTTTAAATCTTGTGGAACTTTTTGGTGCGCAAATATTAACCCAGTCGAGTAGCTTACAAACGCATTTTAACTAGGTACACGTTATTTCGCTGTTTTCCATTCAAACCCTAAATTTTTACGTCGATCATATTTAGAATTGCAACTACCTATGCCCACCCAATCACTCAATGTCGACTTTTCCTTTAGAAGCTGAAAATTGCCTGTTTATGCCTGAAAACTTCATGGTATTTCCGCTGTTGCTAGAACTAAAGGTTAGAGCCAACAAAATTGGCTTTATGTTTGAAATTTTACCGTTGTTTAATGATGGAAGTTCAAAGTTTCATTTTAGACTCGCCTTTAAATCCTGTGAAATTTTTCCAGAGATTCCAGAATCTTAAAACGCATCTTTTCCTAGGCGTTGTTTAGCTATTTTTAATTCAAAAACTTAAATTTTAATGTCGAATATGTTTGGAACTTCGATAAAGTCGCTAACACAAATCAACTTCCCCTTTAGAAGCACCGAATTCCTTGTTTTTTGCATGGAAATTTCATGGCATGGCACTTGCGCTAGCACCAGAATTAAAGCTCACAGCTAAAAAAGGAGCTTTCAGCTTGAAAGTTTCACGTAGTGTAAAGATGGAAGTTCTAAGTTTCTTTTTGGACTTGCCTTTAAATCATACGAAATCTCAGGAATTTTTTTTGATGCGAAAATATAAACTCAGTCTAGAAGTTTTAAAGCGCATTTTTTCCTTCACGTTATTTGTTTTTTTATATGTAAAACTCTTGTCAAATTCTGATGTAATTTACATTTGCAGTTTCGGCTATGACCATCAAATTGCTAACACAATATCAAAGTTTCCTTGAGAAGCTCTAATTCAAACTCAAAATTACACTTTTCGGAAACTTTTTCTAACTTCAAAGTCGATTATCTTCAAGCACGTGGTAGAAAATTGTCACACTTTTAAAGTTTTAGCACGAAAAATTTGGATAGAAGCTCAGATTCGACAAATCATTTACCTACTTTTGGTCATTAAAAGAATGATTAATTTGTAACCCGAAAATATGTATCAGCCTTAAAAATTCTTAAGCTCGAATGTTCAAACACAAACAATCACGAACACCGTAAATGTTTTTTTTGTTTTCCATTTTAAAACTTATTTTAAACACTTTGGAGTAAAAGTGACCATTTTTGGAAGCGTTATTCAACTTAAACGTCGATGTTCTCAAAGAGCTTGGTATAATTTTAAAATTTCACACTTTTAGCACGAAAACTGACTGAGATTTTATTTTAAACATAAAAACTTGCTTGCAGATCATTTACTTTCGATTATTAAAAAATACGTAGTTTGTGGAATCGACAATATCGATCAGTTTTTCGACAAGTTTACATGCTCGTTTTTTTTATCAAAGACAATCTCGAATATGTTAAATGTTTTTTCCTTTTTCACTTTAAAATTCATTTTGGAGTCGCCTTTGGAGACGGTTTCAGCTTCAAATTAGATTTTTTTAAAGCGCTGGGTTTTAAAATCTCACACTAATAACACGAAAAATTTGGCTAAAATCAAAATAATTTGCTAAAAATGTTTCGAAAAATTTCGTTCATAAAAAATAGTTTGCCAAAACGAAAATATCGACAAGCTTTTAAGTTCGTATTTTTCAGTCAAAGTCAGACAATCACGAATACGTTAAAAATTTTCCGATTCCACTTAAAAAGAGTTACGCCTTTTGCAAAACTTTTTCAGCTTGAAAGGCGATTTTCGTAAAACGCTTCGAATAAACTCGAAATCTCACACTTTTAGCACAAAAAAGGCAAAAGCTCTTTTTCTTCAACGTAAAATCGTTTGCAAATAACTTGCTTTTCGGCATAAAATAATTTCTAGAACCGAATTGTTGTTCGTTTTCACTTTAATCCTCATTTTAAAGGTCAATTGGATCCAATGGAATTCGGTTTGCATTCGAACTAATTTTTTTTATTTGGAGCTTGTAATTCCGCCTGTCACTGCAATATTTTCGCAAAAACCTCCTGATCAACAGGTCCATTTTACTCAAAATTCTAATTTTCATGTCGAAATTTCGACTTCTAAGCATATTTTGAGTCAATGACCTGTTTTAAACTGTAAATTTTACACTTTGAAGATTAAATCGGATTTTTAAAAACTAACCCTTATTATATATCTTCTCCTCTAGTTTTTTTGGTGAATATTTATTAACCGGGCATAAGGCACTGACTGTGTGTCTACCTAAAAGTTTAATTTTCAGATCTGTATTTTATTTATTTTTGTTAAGACATTTAATCTTCCTTTTTTTGTGTCGGTGCTCAAAGCTCTTTTTCTTCAGTCACACGAAAAATTAAGTCTGCATTCATGAAGTCTAACAATAAGCTCGAAAAGTCATATTTTGAGTCGGAGATTTTCAGAGCTCAGACTTCAAATTTCCGCTTTCAATTTGGCTTCAAAGGCGGAATTACATTTGATATTCCGATAAATCAGGATTGATAGAAGCAAGAATGATGCCCTCTAAAGAGAAACAGTTTACTTAATCACACACGTTTTGTTTATTTCCACGAACAGGAAAGTTCAAACTTCTCTTTCGAGTCCAAGAAATTGGGCCTTTGTGATTATTGTTTCGCCCCGCGAGGCTTTTGTGGTAAAAAAAGTTTTTCTGACGTTTTGCAAGCACGAGTCGCTTGAAAGTGGCTCAGAATTCAAGAAATAATTTTCCACATCAGCCTAAAAGCCCTAAAGGCTCATCAGTTTCTCTTTTGAATGTTATTTCAATCCTATCGACAATAACATTTAAAGAATAAACTGGCAAGTTTTTGCGGCTTTTTTTTTAATTAGTGAAAAATAATTTCTTGAAGACTATTTTCGAATGAAGGCCTGAAATTTCTCAATTTGAAGGCACACTATTTTCGTCGACTTGCGAATGTAGATCTTTAGAGAATAATAAGTTTCATGTTGCAATTTTCCAGAAAAAAGACGGCACACTTTTAGTTATTGAAGCTTCAAGTTCCACTCTTTCAAACTTTGATTTTCAAACAAACAAGTTTCGGGATGTCTTGAGAAAATGTGATAAATATTAACTTTATTTTGCATCTTTGGCTTATCTGAGCTACTCTGAGTGTGCACGCAAATGTGGATTTTTTTTAACAGACAAATGTTTTCAATAAAGTCCTGTACCTACTTCCATTTTAAGGAAATTAATGTGGAATTTTCGTAAACGACTGAAATAAAAATCCCGTTAATACAATCCATAAACAATAGATTCTATTGTCGAATTCGAGGTGCTTGAACAATGACTTAAGGATAAGCCCGGTCAGCGATAAATACTTATGCAAATTAAATAAATTGGCTCACTTGTTGAACACTTCCTTGAGAGCGGTTAATAAATATGTGGCTACAACGCGTGAATAATAATAAAATGCAATAAACATTGTTTTAATCCACTTTAAATTAACTAGAACCAGCTAAATTGAATAAGCCATTTTCATTGATCAGTTTTGATTGTTGCCCACTTTTAATGGTACTCGACTGCTCAATGGGGGATCGACAGATAACAGTTTTTTGTTCAAATTTCCTTGTGTAAGTTTCAAGTGTCGATAGTTATAAATAGACACCCGACTAGAGATTTATTGAGATTTTCTTTTGAAAAAAAACTTGTGCTGAAGAGGACGTTTATTTTGCCAAAAAAAATTGTAGTTTTTGCTATTATATGATAATCAATAAAAAAATCATCATCATCTTTTGTGTGATTTTAAAGCAGCAAGTTAAGTTTATTGGATTAAATGGAGGAAATGTTGGAACTAATCGGTGCATCGAAGATTGAGCTGTTTTTTTCACAATTTTTCATCCCATTCTTTTATTTTTGTTAGGTGTCCCTGGGACTATAGTGAAGGGGGAGCCCGGCCATGCGCCTAGGCCTGGCTTCTCTGCTGGTCACGCTGCTACTGTGTCTATCCAGGGCCGAGTCCGTCTTGCCTCCACCTGATTGGTCGCCGGTGACAACCCAACCATCTTACCAAACCAACCGGCTCACCTTTTTCCCTTACTCGAACGGTAAGACGGTCAAACAGCCTCGCTCTTACAGCTTACCTAACACACTCTTTCAGACTCTTTCGAAACAGATAACCAGTTCAGCGACGGGGATTCACACTTTATCGATGAATCTCACGAGCTTAGAGAAAACCTCACGGTGGGCGATCTCAAGAAAGAACCAATGGCTGAAAAGGTGAAGCTGATTCTGGGATACTTAACAGCTGTTAAGGGCGATCTGAAGGAACGACAAGGTCTGGCCATTTCTGGAGCCATTTCCATGGCTGTGGAAGAAGTGAGTGGTTGGAAGGAGCCTGAATTTGCCCATTTTCCAGTCTCTGTGTCTTTTGGTAGATTAACAATGATCCAGATATTCTACCAAACGTCACTCTGGAGGTGCGATGGAACGATACAAGAGGAGAGACGGTTTTGGCCACTCGCGCTATGACTGACATGATGTGCGAAGGAGTGGCCGCGTTTTTTGGTCCAGAAGGTTCCTGTTTTGTGGAAGGCATTGTTTCGCAGGCTCGAAATATTCCTATGATCAGCTATGTAAGTAATTATCAAAGTTCTGGCCAGTTTGGTTTGCACAAAGGTAGAAAAGTTGTTTGAAAGTCATCCCATGCTTGAGTGAGTCGTAATTAACGCGCAAAGTACTGGCAAATCAATAGAAAGGAGGCTAAAAAGTCTTTGGAACTGTGGATGTCTGTAATTTTTTACAGTTTGAATGAAAAACATAAAAGTTTGATGAAAACACTCGTAGATTTTTTTTGGAAATACTTTTTAAGGGCTCAAATGTCTGAAGACGCATGATGTGCTTTCATCTACACTTGTACTTGTACTATAGCTAGAATTGTGCATTTTAAACTCAAAATTTAAACTTTTATCTGGACTTTTGGACGTAGACCTCTATTTTGCGCAAATATCGTAAATGTGAGCTCAATATTTTCATTCTGAACTGAAAAGGTTGACTTCATAGCAGAGTTTTGCAATGAAATGTGCGTGTTTCCTGAATAAAATCAAGCATTTTCCGCTTCTAAAAAATTTGTTGAAAAATTCCGTGCTTCTTTTTAAAAAGCAATTGCCGAAAACATCTAAAACAACTCATTTATTCCAGAAATGTTCCGACTACAGAGCCTCCAAGATTCCAACATTTGCGCGAACAGAACCGCCAGATACCCAGGTAATTTCTTCTCCTTACTAGCTTTTGAATTCCGAATCGATCAGAATATCAGCAAATGTGTATTTTAGTATCCTGCATATATTTCAGGTCACCAAATCGATCGTGTCGCTGCTAAACTACTACAATTGGAACAAGTTTTCGATCATCTACGAGGAGGGTTGGGAGACGGTGGCCACTTCGCTGGAAAAACAGGCCGAAGGCAAGAACATGTCAGTTCAACACAAGAAAAATGCTGGAGACCGGCACAAATGTTGTCTGCAGAACTACAAGTGTTGCCAGAGCGGGTTTTGGTATGAAATTATCCAGAATTCCAAAAACAAGACGCGAAGTAAGTGGATGTTTTGTATTCCAATCGGATTCAGTTGGAAGATTAAAAGAGTTGGACTTTGGGCAGCTATTGCTTAAAACTGGTGGGCTTTGCGAGCTTTTGGACTATTGTGGAAAAGAGTTTGTTCGAAACCGTGCATTTTTCTAAAAACCCCAAAAACCCAAAAGTTTCAGTTTGGATTAGGATTAGAATTTTCTATGCCATCCAGTTTCAATAAATCGTATCTGCGATAATTTCAGTTTACGTTTTTCTGGGCACATCGATATCGTTGGTGGATTTCATGGACACCATGCAAAGAGCGCAGCTTTTCGAAAATGGGGAATACATAGTGATTTATGTAGACATGAACACCTATCTGGAAAAGGAAGTGCACAAATACATATACAGTAAGCCAAAAAGATTGGGTTTTTCCAGAAAATTGACCCCATCAATTGCAGAGTTTGACGAATTGGAAAAGTACAAAAACTGTAAAGAATTATCCGATTATCCCAGCTTGGTGACGCGCGTTAAATCGCTGTTTGTTGTGGTTCCCACCGCTCCCACTGAAAACTACAAGAATTTTTCGGAGAAAGTACGCAATTACAACAAGATGGAGCCGTTTGATTTTCAAACTGTTTTCCCTAGTGAAAAGGGCAAAATTTTCATCTCCTTTCAAAAGGTACATTTTTGTCAGACAATTGGGCCTTCCATTGGTGAATGGATTTTTTCTAGTTCGTTAGCATCTATGCAGCGTATTTGTATGACTCAGTGAAACTTTATGCTTCGGCTTTGCACCATTTACTCATCGACCAGCCAATACTGAACGAAAAAACTATCAGGGAAATTGCGACTAATGGCACGAAAATCATCGAGACGATCATCCAGATCAATCAAACATATCGAAGTAAGTTTCTGGGAAGAAAATGAGGCAATCTTTTCATAGAAATTTGCCTTCCAATTAGGTATAACGGGGGCGGTGATAAAATTGGACAAAAACGGCGATTCGGAAGGAAACTTCTCTGTTCTGGCCTATAGAGAAACGGAGCAGCTCTATTTAGGAGGTAGCAATAATTTTAGTTGCTCCTTTTACATGGCACCAGTGGGCCAGTTTTACCAAAATGAAAAGTCTGCCTATCCGGTAAGTAAGTACGACTTTTGCTTTTTTTAAACCTTGTAAGGCCAGCAATATTATCCAAAAATCTGTTTGCTGACTGTTAAGTAAATGAGAATGATGTTTTCCAGCAATACAAAATTAACCCGAGTACTTCAATAATGTGGCCTGGAGGCGACAAGCCAAATGACGAACCGAGTTGCGGTTTTGATAATAAACTTTGCCAGAAAACGGATACTCATCGCAACAGCTTGATAGCCGCAGGAATACTGGGTATGGTGCTATTTTGTGCCGGAGTGGTCACCATGAGCATCTACCGAAAGTGGAAAATTGAGCAGGAAATCGAAGGATTGTTGTGGAAAATTGATAGGGATGACATTCACAGTTATTTTGAGAAGGATAATATTTCGAGTCCTAGTCGAGTAGGTATTTTATTTAATATTTTTTATATTAAGTTTTAATTAATGTTTGCGGTTTTATTTTGAAGGTTTTTCAAATTCATAGGGCAATTTCTTCCGACAGAAATTGTGAAAGATTTGATGAAAATTACTGCCTGGACAGGAATCACCCCGCATATTTATTTTGGAATGAAAGAGTAGTTTTAGAAGCTTTTGGAATCTTTTAAATTACCATTTTTACATTTTATGGTTGTTTTTCATGCTTTGGAAGCAAACTGTTTTTTTGCGGGTTTTTCTAATTTTTCAATTTCAATTTGAAGGCTTTCAATTTTTAAGGCTATTTCTTCCTACAGAAATTATGAAAGATTTGATGAAAATTACTGCTTACTGCCTGGACAGGAATCACCCCGCATATATTTTTTGGAATGAAAGAATAGTTTTAGAAGCTTTTAAAATCTTATAAATTACCATTTTACATGTTATGGTTGTTTTTGCTCTTTTGAAAGAAAATTGTTTTTGCGGGTTTTTTTATAATTTTTCAATTTCAATTTGAAGGCTTTTCCAATTCATAAGGCAATTTCTTCCGACAGAAATTGCGAAAGATTTGATGAAAATTATTGTCCGGACAGGAATCACCCCGCATATTTATTTTGAAATGAAAGAGTCGTTTTAGAAGCTTTTGGAATCTTTTAAATTGCCATTTTTACATGCCTTAATTGTTTTTGATGCTTTGAAAGCAGATTGTTTTTTGAGGGTTTTTTTTATAATTTTTTCATTTCAATTTGGATGTTTTTCGAATTTTTAAGGCAATTTATTTCGATAGGAATTGTAAATGACTTGATGAGAATGACCCCCCTGGGCAGGAAAATGTATATAGATATTTCATTGAAAGAGTAATTTTAGAAGCTCTTGGAATCTTTAAAATTACATTTTTCAGTTTATGGTTGTTTTTTATGTTTTAAAAGAAAATATTTTTTTTTGTAAATGTTTCAATTTTAATTTGAAGGATTCTCCCATTTCTAATGCATTTTTTGAAAATTGTGAGAGATTTGAATAAACTGACTTGAGAAAAAATCAACCACATTTCCACAAAAAAAAATTTTAACTCGGAATCTTTAGAATTACCATTTTTTGCGCGCATATAGCAAAAAATGCAGAAATTTTCCAAAGCTGTTTTACAATAAAATCGTTTTCTGTGTTTTTTTGCCAATATTTCAATTTGAAGGTTTTTCCCACTTATTTTAATGCAATTTTTTGGAAATTGCGAGAAATTTGCTGAAACTGAGCCCCTGAGAAAGACCTACTTTATTTTCGACTGAAAAAAATTATTTTTAAAACTCCCGGAATCTTAAAAAATGCCAATTTTTTCTGGCAAATAGAAAAAAATAAAATAAATCCAAATACAGGATTAACGTACGTTAAAAACTCAAGAAATCTGCGACAAAAAGTGATTAACAACTCGTTTAGAACTGTTGAGAAATAGGAAATCCAAACCATGTAAAACAGATTTAAAGAATTTGAAGTGTGGAATAAAAGATTTTTAAATTTCAATTACTTCATCTAGCGATTGAGCGGGATGGAGAGGTGGATGGATTTCACTTTAAATAACTTTCCAAATACCGAATATCCCAAGCGCTAGAAAGTCTACAAAACCGTGTTTTTTTCTCCCAAAATACCTAACTTGGAATCAATAAGCAATTTGAAAGAGTTAAAAGTTCAGAGTTCGAAATGTGGTTGAAAACCCTTAAAATAATTGTTTTACCAAAAATTGCAACAATATTTGACACAAGGCTTGAAAATACCTTTCCGTTGAAAAACAGCAAAATCATATTAAATTGTTTAAAGAGGAAAGAGTTTAAATCAGATCAGGATGCAAAAATAGACTTTAATATGTTTGAACAGCATCTTAAAAATAGGAAAAACCTTCAAATTTGCATTTTTATTGAAAAAATGGCAAAGGCAATTTGCAACTTCAAAAATAACCATGAAATGTTAAAATTACGCAATAAAGTCACGGTTGATGGAGTGGATGGAACTCAGCTAACAATCAATCAAGTCAAAAATTAATTTTATTAAAAATCGTATTGATTCATCATCAAACAAATAAACACCCACGAATTACTTTGAATATTGTCTATCAGAGGTTTAAAAATCAATAGAACCGCGTTTTCCTTGATATTAGGAACAATACAAAACTACACTGAAAATATTTGGACAAACTTGAAAATTCCATATTGTGCTTCAAACATTCACAGTAAAACTGCGGATTAGCACCGTTTTTCTGTTAAAAGAAAAGTATAAAACCAAGATTGCAAACCAAAAGTTGTTCAATAAAGGGACTGAGTCTTTGAGAGGCAGAGTAGCAAAAAAACAGTATGGTTTTTCTCTTTTAATAAATCCCAAAATGACTAAAAATTCTAACAGATTTTAAACTTTACGAAATTTTGCGAAAAAACACATAAGAAAGTGAGGTAAATAAAATAGTTGTAAACCGACCATAACCGCTGTATGCGGTCTGAAAAAACCGAGAATGAGAAGATGCCCAATTAAATTAACAAGCGTTAAGACAATAATAAAGAGTCCGAAATGTAACTGAAAACAATAAAAATGTTTTTTCAAAACAACCATCAAAATATTTTAAAATTTTAACTCTAAGAACACTGCAAGACACCATTGGAAACTTTGAAAATGGTCCAAAAAATTTTGGTAAAGACTAACATTTTGTCAATTCCAGGCAAATTAATATTGCCTCTCAATAGAGACTTTTTTCGTTGAATCTTCCAGTAAATTGTATACATTTTTTGTTTATTTTTAGATGAGTTTGTGTAGTGTAAGTGTAACATCCTATGAGTCGAAGGGTGGTTTGCAAGTGTTTACAACCACAGCTCAATATAGAGGCGTGGTGGTGCGAATCAAAGATCTGGCATTTTCTCGAAAAAAGGACATTTCACGGGAGATTATGAAGGAAATGAGGCTGTTGCGGGATTTGAGGCACGATAACGTCAACTCGTTTATTGGTGCTTGCGTCCAGCCCACCTCACTGCTACTAGTCACAGATTATTGTGCCAAAGGAAGTTTATATGTAAGAAGCAGATAAATCGCCAACAGAAATTTGTAGTTTTCTAATAGATCAGTGAATTGTTTTCCAGGATATTATTGAAAATGAGGATATTAAGCTGGACAAGATGTTTATTGCTTCGTTAGTGCATGATCTCGTTAAGGTAAGGATCAAGGCCTTACTATTAATTTAACTGAACCATTGAAACATATTGCATATTATCTTTAGGGGATGCTATATTTACATAACTCAATGCTACTGTGCCATGGCAATTTAAAGTCATCAAACTGTGTGGTAACTAGTCGATGGGTCTTGCAAGTCACGGACTTTGGCCTGGGCGAATTACGCCAACTAGCTGCAATGGAAAGCGAAGAGGAGCATCAAACTTACAGAAGTAAATCCATCATTTATTCCCCATCCCATATCCAATTGTCCACACATATCATTCATTGGAAGGCCATTTAAAATCATGCAAACCTGCAGTTCTGGGCTTTTTTAGATTTGCTCTGGAAAGCGCCTGAGCTGTTGAGGTTTCCAGAGAAATTTATCAAAGGCACACCGCAAGGTGATGTTTACGCATTTGGCTTGATATTGTACGAGATATTAGGGCGAAGGGCCCCTTTTGGAGACGTGGACGATGAACTAAAAGGTACAGTAAGCAAACAAATATGAAATTTCATTTGCTATGCAGGTAAAACTAGAGTGGTGAAACTAGGAATCGAAGTATATTGAGCTAAACGCGCTCTAACATAAGACAAGTTTTAATTAACGCTGGAGAAAATTATTTGAGATTATTTGAGACACTGAAGAAGTACTACTACTAACGAAAAAAAAGGTGCGAATTCAACCGAATAATTTAAGATACTGTAAATAGTGTCTTTGGCCATTTAGTCCAACTTTTTGTAATTCTTGAAATCAGGCTATAAACTCTCTTCCAATCCTTCTGGCACTGAACCGTAAAACTTACCATTGAAGCCTTCAACCGCGCTTTCAGATGCCCCGAATTTTTTCAAAAACCCGCAAAACTGTTGTGCAAAAATAACCTTTTTCTGCATCAATAATTGCAAAATCCAAAAACAATCCAAACAACCTGAAAATCTCCGTTTTTTCTCAAAAATGTCCAAAACTAATTTGAAAACTATTGAAAAAATCGCCGTTTTTTTTTTGAAATTAACCAAAACTCATTTGTAAACAATGTAAAGAAGCTTTATCAGATTTTACCTGGAAAATAAACGTTAAAAGGCCATAAAAAACCGGAGTTGTTTTGTCTAAACGAGGCAAGCTTTGAAAATTTTATGCATATAAAACATCAAAATTTCGGGTATTTCGCATCTAAAATTTTTGCCTTTAAAAAAGACAGAATTTCCTCACGTCTTTTATTACAGATTGATAAATAGTGCTCCTATTTTACAATACAAAAATTTTTGAGGCGAAATACCCAAAAAGAAGTTTGTAAAAAATGAATCCGCCTCAACAATATAGAACTTATCATCAAAATTTCGGTTTTTATCAACAATCGTAAAAATCAGGAAGTAAAACCAAACAACAATTGAAGATAATTGAAAAACGCATGCGAATTTCAAGCAATCACTGTTTTTTGCTTGCAAAATGTCTAAGAGGTGGGCACGATGAAATCGAATATTTGCCACAGAAATTAAAAAATTCTTTCAGTTAAATGCGCTTTAAGATGCTTGAAAAGCTTTGAAAAAACCAGCTAGACTGTATTTTCTTGTTGCCAAACCATACATTTTTCAAAATTCCCAAAAATTATTTTTTTGTTATCGATTGCGAATATTCGATATAATTAAAATACACTAGTTAAATGCGCCGTGAGACGCTTGAAAAAAAGCTATAGAAAACCAGCTAAACTGCATTTTTTGTCAACTGCAAGCATTCCATTTTTTTGCCAAAAAGTGCAAAGATCAGCAGGAAAAACGATTTGGTAATTTTTGACCAAAAAATTAAGTTATGTGCGGCTTGAAATCTTCAGAAATCTTTTAAATTACAGTTTTCACTGTTTAAAATAGAACTTTTCGAAAAAGAACTTTCTTCTTCTTTTGCTATACAAAACCTGCAAAAATCAAGTTACACTACCGGGCAACGATTCCAGTTGATTGGAAAACGCACGAAAACCATATAAAATTGTGCGTTTTTTTGTTAAAAGCGCTGGAAATTAACTAGGAAAAAATGTAATAAACCAAACAAACCATACAAAGAACTGAAATAATTTGGAAACCCAAGAAGTTGTTCAAAAACATTGACTTCTTGGTCTAAAGCAAATGTCAAAAAAATGTGAAGAAGCAATTTTACACGCAAAATGATAGAAGTGCTAATAAACAATGTAAAAAATGTTCTATTTAAGCAGACGTTTTCTGCTAATGTTCGTAAAATCGGTTTGAAAACGGGTAAATATGGCTAACATCAAGAAAAATCCTAAAAATGACTGAGACAAAAAGTTCAAGGTACGAAGAAATACTTAACAAAACGTTCCCCACAATTTTATTGAAAATGAGGCAGTTTTGACCTCCAAACTGTTCCAATGCAAAATTCACAGTTTATGCAGCTTGGACAGGACATAAGTGCCTCCTAAAAAATTTGCTCATTTTTTGCTCTGAAATCGGTGAGCCGACTCTATAAAACGTCTTTACTTACCCTATAAAACCAAGAATGAAACAGCTTTCGTACAAAACCCATATTCTTCAGTTATTTGCACTGGAAACGAAGAAGAATGAGAAAAAACTAAAGACACGAGAGCAATATATCTTCATTTCTGGTTTCACTAGTTTAGTAAAACACCAAGTAAAAGCAATTAGGTATTGAACACAGTGAAAAATTCTGTTCTTTAGACATTGTGCTATCAATAAAAAACCCAAAAGAAGGCCAGCCTCTAATGAGACCGGACGCAGACATTCTTCATAATCCTGAAATCGGCTGTGATGAATACGTGTTAGAAGTAATGAAAGAATGCTGGTCGGAAAGTCCGGAATGTCGGCCAGACTTTCCTAGTATTAGGTCTAGACTTAAGAGAATGAAGGACGGAAAGTAAGTGCTTTTAATTCTTCCAATTCCATAACTGGTTTAATTGTTGTCTGGATTCAGGAGCAAAAACATAATGGATCAAATGATGGACATGATGGAAACATATGCGACTAACTTGGAGGAATTGGTCTACGAACGGACTAGATTGCTCTATGAGGAAAAGAATAAAACTGAAGACTTATTGCATAGAATGCTTCCAGAGTTAGTGACGCCGGTGAAATCGCATTCAGGATTGTTAACATTAGGAACGTTTTAGGCCTGTAGCTGACAAACTTACCAAAGGCTACGGCATCGAACCTGAATCATTCGACTTAGTAACGATTTATTTCAGCGACATAGTAGGTTTTACTGCCATGTCAGCTGAGAGCACACCCTTACAAGTAGTTAACTTTCTCAATGATCTCTACACAGTATTTGACCGAATTATTAAGGGCTACGACGTCTACAAGGTGGAAACAATCGGTGACGCCTACATGGTGGTACGTCTACAGAAGAGCGTCGTCGAAAAATGGGTTTAAAAAATTTTTTTTAGGTATCAGGGTTGCCCATCAGAAATGGAGATCGACATGCAGGCGAAATCGCCTCCATGGCATTAGATCTGCTTTCGGCTGTTAGAAATCATTCCATAGCCCACAGACCAAACGAAACACTCAAGCTTAGAATAGGAATACATACAGGTCGGGAAACAGTCGGCTATAAAAATTCACATATAATAATATATATAATATAATTTCCGAATTTTCCAGGTCCAGTAGTAGCGGGAGTAGTAGGACTGACCATGCCGCGATACTGTTTATTTGGGGACACCGTAAACACGGCATCCAGAATGGAAAGCAACGGAGAACCGTTGAAGATCCACATAAGCATGCAATGCAAAGACGCCCTGGAAAAACTGGGAGGTTACACTATAGAGGAAAGGGGCCTGGTGAGCATGAAAGGGAAAGGCGAAGTGGAAACGTTTTGGCTGGTGGGAGCCACCGAACAGGCCATCCAGAGGAAGGAGGTGGATTTGACCGAATTGCCTCCCCCGTTATTCTGCAGACCGAGGCGAAGCCCTAAACTCAACAACGAATCGAGGCAACCATCGATTATTGGAGGATTTGGAGGATTGAACAGCAGAAGACATTCGAGTGTTCCCAGAGGTAAGTCTGAGCTGCTTTGGGTGAACTCAAAATCTATTTAATAAAACCTGAAAAAATATTCGCAATTCAACAGGTAAAAAATATCGATAAACACATAATAAAATGGTTATATCATTCTGCATGCTTCTCTTCTCTCAGCTTTTGTTCTGATGTTTATTTGGTGATGGTTTCAATGGTGTTTATTGTTTAAATTAATGATCTTATTTTTTAAATTAATATTCGAATTGCTTCAGAATCCGACAGTTAATATTTGCAGAATTTCGACATTATTCCCAAAGTTATTCGCAAATTTTCTAACAAATGCATACGGGTTCAATGGTGTTTATATATAGTTTACATTAATGATCCTATTTTTTAAATTAATATTCCAATTGCTTCAGAATCCGACAGTTAATATTTGCAGAATTTTGACATTATTCCCAAAGTTATTCGCAAATTTTCTAAAAAATGCATACTGTTTCATATGCATATACAGGGTGTCTGTAAAATGTCTGTTCCAAATTCCAACAGCAGATTCACGGGGGAAAACATGATGATTTGGCATAATTTGTTCTAATCTAAAAGTGGACGGTTGGCGAAATACGGGGCGTCAAAGTTAAGATTAAAAAATCGAAAAAATCATTATTTTCTTTGGAATGCTACTATGATGAAAACGATTTTTTAACCCCCTTTTCGATTAAACAAATTAGGATAAATCAGTCATTTATACATATAGACATTCTATGCACATCCTGTATATACAGGGTATTGTAAATAACTGGATATCGTACAGTTTCATTGGTTAATGCTTTCCTTAAAGCAGGACTTTTTTAGGATACTTTTTTGTGCATTCTTTTGTTGGATACAAAGGCAAAGCACTGATTTTCAGCTTTCCAATCTAGTAAATATTACTTCCGTAGAAAGTCCATTCAATTCAAAAGGAAACTCTTCTGTTTCTTGGAAAAATGTCCTTAAATGCTTCATTTTCGAGGAAAATAATAAAACGTGATCGAATGCATCTGAAACCGAATACTACGCGCCTTTGCGAAAAGTCTACGCGAATTTTGACCAACTGAAAACGTCTTTTAGTTGGCCAATAGTATTTTTATCAAGGTTTTTAATTAAAATGTTTGTACCAATCCATATCGAGTTCGAGTTTTTAATTGGAAAAATAAAAAATGCGATAGAACTTGAAAAATTCGATAGAAAAGTTCAAATAAACGTATTTCCTCAATCGCTTCGTTCCCGAAATATAGTGTTGAAATTAGAAATTTAATTGAGTTTTTTTGCACCAACTCTTGTTCGTTTTGAGACATTTTCCTCACAATTTGACTGTAAATGAAGCTTTTTGGTATAGATCTGGGCTAACGGGAACTTAAGTTTCCGTGGGTCACGTATAGATCGACCACGGTATCACACGTTTGTAAGATTTATTGTATTAAACTTTTGTAGTTTGTCAGTCAGGTTTAGCGGCACATTTTTCAAATTCCGCACTCAATTTAGAAAATTTCTAACCACCAGATTTTTTTTCGTATTTGCAACCATTTACGAGTTGTTGGCAGAATAGCGAAAAAAGTTTGGCGGTTTCCCCAAAAATATTTTTTCAAATTTGAGGTGAATAGATCATCCCATATTCGCAGGGTAAACAGTGTTTGAAAATTAAAAAAAAATATTTTCTGATTGATGAAATGAATTTATTAATATTATCAAATAGCTTTTTAACATTTGAAGATCGGAAAGACAACTTCATTTGCTCAGAAATTATGAGCCGAAATACTCTTCCATCAACGATAATCTGTTGAAAATGTAGTTGTTGAAAATACACTAGAAGACCTGCTTTTTGAAATTGAATTTGGGTTTTTTTCAACGCCTCTAAAATCAAACCCATTTTTAATAGAAGACGATAAACCATTACCAAATAGTACACGTTTCAGGTACCAGCATAGAACTGGAAAGCTCGTCCACCCTGCAAAATTACAGTCCAATGGTGCAGTCGCGCCATTTTCTTAAAGTTAACCGCAACAATTTGCATGTTCCAGACCCGGGAGGGTCCAAATTGACGATTAATACCACCTTCGGAAGCCAAATCCTCGAGAAACCAGAAGAGGGTCGACAAAAGCCTCGGCCTCGAAGAGTGTTGTCTAGCATTGCGTCTAGCTCGGAGGAACCGCACAAGAGTTATGGAGGATTGAATAAGGTGCGCGAATCGAAGTCTTTGGATCCATTGCCGTTTGTTGGTAAGTCCAAGAACGTAAAAAATCAACGAACAATCTAAACCGAAGTGTTTTTTTATGCGCAGCAAGACCAGCCACTACGGCCAAGGATCTGATCGATTCGTTCCTCACCGGCAGGAAACGTTCAACGAAAAGCTTAGACAACTGTGATAAATGCGGCGAAATTCAGATAATAGCAATACCGAAAGACAAGATGGTGAACAACAATTTCCCGAATGGCAATTTACTCAACATGCCCCAAGAGGAACAGCACGGGTTTATTGAAGACGCGCAAGTGCCTCTGTTGAAGCCTCCAAAGGTGCAAAATCCTCTAATAGTGCGACGAAGAGGTGGCAGTGATGTTAACAAGTTTCTTGTCAGCGATTGTTCGAAGGCGAAACTGTGAGTATTGAAAGCTTTTTGAGGCGTTGGTCACTAATTAGTGGAAAATCTTCTCAGAACGCATTCCTTGGACGCTCTCCCAACCACCCAGAATCAACTGGCGCCAAAAAGTTCCTTCACTAAATGGTTAGTGGGCATATTTAGTGGCAACAGCTTGAAATCCAGTAACGCGTCCCTTAAAAAGGGCGTCTTGAATGATTACAGCATTCAAGCACCCGACAATGAAAGCATGGTTTAGTAGAAAAACAAGGTTGTATTATCAAAGAAGGTCGTGGCAGGGCAAAGAGCTGGAAACTGATAGGATTGTGACTGAGGTTTTTGTGTTTATGATTATTTGGTCTGAGCAGCATTGAGTTAATTGAGCGCTGAGCGCAAATTGTGATACTTCAGAAGAAAATTTCTCGGATGAGCCTAAATGCCCAAAAACAGAAAAAAGGTATTTTTGAAAAATTGCTATTTTGCATTCTTTACATTATTGGCGTCGTTGTTGGGCTTTTTCTTAAACTGGTGTAATTCGATAAACAAAATATCTGAGTTTTTAAATATTTGGGTACTTTACGTACAACCGGAATGCTGCATGCCAGGAATATATCAATAATGTAATAATACAAGAAGAATAGTGGTGTTTCCCAATAATTATTGCACCAATTGCGGTGAACTCATAGAAAACTTACATTTTAACACTGAATGAATTCAAAAAAATGCAAAATAAATCTGACTTGAGTTTTACTGATAAAAAACACGCCGCTTCGCAATATTATGCGAAAATAATCATTATACACAAAAAACGTTTTTTTGTTATTAGAAAGTGTTCGTAAAATGCAAGTAGCAATGCTGTTATCGGTTGGTTTTATATAGTTTTTTTGACGATAATAAAGTTGAAACTTGTTTAAATAACCAAAATGCAGAATAGAGGAGTTCATTTGATTTTAAACATGTCGTAGTCGCTTAATGTATGCAGAGTATCCAGAAAATGTGAGCATGCTTTCGAATGCACAAAGATACAGGGTGTCAAAAGAATACATTCCTACCAAGATCGCCTTGTAAAGGAACGTCGCTAAAAATCGTTTTTTATTAAATAACTTCTTAAAATACTTGGTCTTACTTGAATTTGTATTGCGGTAGTTGAGGCCTCTTAAAATAGTGTATTTTAAACTAACTTTGGCTGTTAGAGTTCGCCAGGCACCGACCGGCTTGTAGATATTAACGCTCATATTTTAAACACCCTGTATGACTCCAGAACACTAATTTTGGATATTTTGAAGCTGAAGCTAAATAAAGCTACTCTTGTTTGACTAGAAATTACATTTTGCCACCATTTTTCATGCTTTCCTAATTGGGAATTTCGAAACAAAAAATTTTAAAATAATATGAGCTCTAAAAAAAACTTCGTTTTCCGGTAAAATGGCCCGGAAAGAAGAATGTTGCATCATAATTGCAATCCCCTGAATAATTTTCGAGAAAATTTGTAATTTTGACCGAAAAGTGCCTCAAACTGCGTAATGCCCAGAAAAAGCATCAAACTAAAAGACACTGTTGCATTATTCAAAAATTCAAGTTTTTCCAACTGCGCTAGCCACAATGAAAGGAATACATGAAATAAAACGACATTCAGAGCAACATTTTTCAAGTAATTCCATGCATATTCGGGTTTTCGGGACAAATTCAGCGGAAAATGAGCCCCATTTGGGGGGTTTTCCGAAAAACATTTGGCTATTTTGCAAAAATCACCCATCAACATGGTACTCGTTTTCCACTAAAATCGCCCCAAAAATTCTAAAGATTCTCACTGATAGCTTTCGCAAATTTTGAATTGTACAATAAAAATATGAAAATTAAAAAATTACAAACGAAACAATCTATTCGAAGTGGTTTGCACATATTGTTTTGTGCGAGACTGATAATAAGAGAGAGAATATGAGAGAATATGAGAACTGATAATAAATTATATCCAGTACTTTAAAAGTTATTTAATAAAAGCCGATATTCAGCGGCGTTTTGAGAAGATTTGTTTCATAGAATCTGGTTATGCTACTATGCATACGTTCATATTTTTTGGGACACTCGTATAGTTTTTATTTTATTTATTTTTGGTCAGTAAGTTAAAATTGTTTATTTTAATCCCTTTTATTTTTTGTGTTGTACAGTTTTATTTTAAGTGATAAAGCTATAATAAGTATGTTTATATCGATATCTTTAGAACCAAAAATATGTATAATATTTTATCCGTGTTATTGCGGCAAGTTTCAACGATACTGAATGTGATTTTTAAGCCAGATATTGCATTTTGTTATTTAACGAAAAACAGTTGATTTAATTCGCATTTTTCCTTATCGAGTGTGTGAACTCGTAAATTAAGATCTGCTAGAACGGTTTTGGAGGTTTTAGTCAAACGGTTTATGGAACCAGATTGTGTTGGAGGCTGTGAATAATGGTGCTTTTGTAATAATCGTCTGAAAATCTACTTAACCATCGGACGATAAAAACGTTAAATTAAAACGAGTGAAATGCAATGAAATAGATGATTACAGAAGCACACAAAAAATATGTCAGTGTAAATAATAGTTTAATTTATGTTTTAAGTTAACAGAGAAGGGTATAGTGGTATTCAGCACAATCATTTCATTGCTTAATTCGTTTTTGCTGAAATATGCTATATCCATCCATGCATCATATTATAGCAGATGTGCCATCATACCTTAAGTCATTGTATGTATTTAAAATGTACGTAAAAAGCGGCTAAATATTTTCACTTTCCATCAGACCCTGCTTAGGGTGACTGTTACAATATTTGGCCCATCAGCTAAATGTAAATAATATAAATGTTATTATGTATGTAGGGGTACTGTTTCATAAAAATATATATACATGTATATTTATTTTAAAAAACGGTTTTTATTTTATTTCAAACAGTGCGCTATAGTTCGATGGTTTTGTGAGCTGTGAAGTGAATTCAAAGTCAAATATTCGTGTTGTAACCTGTTTTAATTCTCATTCTAAAACTTTTCTAAAAACTATAGTCAATTTCTAACATGGAAATTAAATCGCCTTAAGTACTATCGAGCGATAAAAATAAAAAAAACTCTCAACGCTCAAAAAATATTGAGTCTCGCCTTAAATCGGTCGGCTTAAAACAAACAGAGTGGAAAGTCCGCACTCACGCATAATACAACACTGTGTATTCTCCTGTGTGTCCTTAGTAAAAAATATCACAATAAACGAAAAAGTAAAAGGACAATGATAAGAACATGGACGTATAAACTGAAAAAAAAACGACCAGAATAGTTAAATGAAAATCCTTTATTTTTGCAATAAATAAGGGACGTTACAAGTATAACAAAAATAATTGCTGCCGCAAATTGAACCCAAGGAACGTTCTACAATAGCTATTTATCTATCATTAATACTGCATCTTTGCACACCCTTCCATTCATCATCTATGATCCAATTCTGTACAAAATTCGATAGATTTCATTGGAAGTATTAAGTCTATACAGAGCATTAAAAAACCATACTGTGAAACTTTTTGAGCAAGAAATAAATAACTGTAGATTATGGCATTGCTTTTCCCATCTTGAATGGACATTGCTTTTACAACATCCTGTATAAGCTATTTGAAATCAACTATCACCTGGAGTTTTGGCTGAATATAAGCTCATCATACCTGAGATTGTTCCCCCGAAATGAGGCGACTTATAGAGCGGCGAAAGCCTGCTCTAGATCGGCAACCAGATCCTCAATGTCCTCAATACCGACAGACAATCGAATTAAGGAATCGGTTATACCCAATACTGCTCTTTGCTCTGGAGGAACTGAGGCGTGAGTCATAACCGATCTGTAACCAAAAGCCGACAAATAAATTTATCTGGTGTTGAAACTACAGCTCGTCTACGCACGGTAGTTCGATTAAGCTCTCGTATCCTCCCAGGCTTTCAGCCAATGTGAAGAGTTTTACTGCAGTTAAGAACTTCTTGGCACTGCTGAGATCCCCTTTTAAGTAGAAGGAAAATGTGCCGCTGTGCCCACTGGTTTGTCTCTTGAACAGGTCGTGCTGAGGGTGAGATGGAAGGCCTGAAGTCAAACAACTTGTTAGATGATTTAGGGTGGATTTTCAATGCAAAGCAACCTACCGGGATGCAAAACTTTTTCCACCTTAGGATGACTTTCTAAGTACTTCGCGATAACCAGGGCGTTCTTTTTATGCTGCTCCATTCGCAAAGCCAGCGTTTTTAACCCCCTGTTCACTTGATAGCAATCGAAGGGACTGGGGACGATTCCCATAGCTGGAGGAAGGTCCTTTAAAGATCAGCAGTGACTAAATCACCAAGCTTACTTACAGTTTTGCAAAAACTTCAGCTTGTCGTAAAGGTCCTGATTGGACGTTACCAAAGCTCCCATGACGACGTCTGAGTGCCCGTTCATGTATTTAGTGAGAGAATAAGTAACAATGTCCGCACCAAAGGAGAGCGGCCTAAAGAGGTATGGGGTGAGGAAGGTGTTATCCACGATGAGGATTAGATTATGTTTTTTGGCTATGCTGGAAACAGCTCGCAGATCCACCACTTGCATAGTCGGATTTGTGGGCGTTTCGGTCCAGATTAGCTGGAATTCAAACAAAAATGTACTGAAATAGGAGCTTGAGCGCAAGCCGGTTATTTTTCTTTGAAGGAGCGTAAAAGAGCAACAAACCAGAAGAGGAGGAAGGTTGAAACAAAATCTTAAAAACGCGCTTAAGAGGATAATTATTGAGTACTGCAGTACAAAGAAGCACAGAGGTGTTTACTAGTTTCCAACTGGATTAATCTGCACAAATATTTTTTCATCAACGCTTCAGCCGAAAATTGAATCAAATTTTCAGTTATCTTCAAGATTTGGCTTCAGGATTTCAAGTGGCATTTATATAAAAATTTCAGCAGCACTTGTCAGCAAGACTCGTGCAATCAATCACCATTTAGTCACTGCGTTGATAAATTAAAAAATATATAAAAGCAGTGAACAAAATAACAGAAATCCTTTGCTAAATTAGCAACATCACGGCAGTACCTGCTCACCTTAGTGTTCGCCTTGATGTGGCTTTCCACATTAGCCAGATCGGTGAAATCCAGCAGGGAAATTTCGATTCCGAACTTAGTGGCCACTTTACTGAACAGCCGGTTGGTGCCTCCATAAACATCGCTTCCACTTAAATATGTTTTTTAAATACAACACCAGTTTGCCTATATAATAACTGGTTACCTTATGATGTGGTCGCCAGCATTTAAGAGCCCCAATACTGCAGTAGTTACGCCCAAACCCGACGAAAACGCTAAGCCAAACTTGCCGCCATCCAGCTTAGCCAAAACATGCTCTAAAACTTCCCTAGTCGGGTTCCCCGACCTGCCATATTCATATTTCTAAAACATTTAGGGGTTTAGGTTAAGCACCAGGGTTTTGCAGGGCGGTTTTACCTTAAACTCTGCAGGTCCGAATTGTTTGAAGGTGGTGGAAGTCACAATAGGAGTGACCACCGCCATAGAGTCCCATTTTTCCGGCTCTTGAGCGTGGTGAATGGCAGCGGTTGCAAATCCCTTTGGATAAGGCAAAAAGCCGTTTTCTTGTGCCATAACTGGAAAGTGCAAATCACCGTCGAACAATTGACTTCGCTTAACGCAATGATGGTTTGCAATTAAAATTGTTTACTTATATACAGATAAGGTTAAATTGATTAAACTTTGAGGAATCTTTGCAGTGTAATTACTAGTGGAAAGCAAAATCCGCCAAACTATAATCGGCGCGTAAGTAACCAGTACCAGTAAATGCAGTAATGAAAATGCGTGACTATCATGTGTTTGTTTAAAGCAGAGAAAGATGAACCACTATAAATAATTTGAGAAAAAACAGTTAAGGGAAGCCCTCAAGTACTTAAGGAAATTGTCTGCTAATTGTCCAATGAATGTTCAGAGCTCAGACGACTCACCCCTAAAAAGTCGCAGACATTAAACCGACCCATAAGGTCAACAATTGGGTAAAGAAACTGGACTTTTTCGCATATGTATTGACCCATTGAAAAAGTGGTAGAAAAATCAAAAAACTAATTACAACCAAATAAGTAGTAAAAGAAGCAAACGAAAACACAAGCTCTAAACAAACAGAAATACGTTGAAATTGTTTTCGATTAAAATGAGCTAAGTGGCCATTGTGAAACAGCCTAAAATAACTTAGAAGTTTAAAAATTAATCGTAAAAAATAGAACCGCTCGATTGGAACTGTTGGATTGGATGTAAAAATGAAATATCGACCGACACGTCTCCCGAGTTTGAAAATTGATTATGAAGAAACGAATTTTTCGATTCGAACTAAATATTCACCACAAAGAAGCTAAAGCTTCCTTTATCGCCTGATGGGACTCTCGGTCCGTTATCTAAAACAGTTCTTCAGAAACGGGCTTTAGACGAATGCGATGTATAAATGACAAACCGCCCAAATTTTTTTCAAAGTTTAAAAATTAATTTTGCCGAATCGAATGTTTCGATTGGAACTAAATTGACATCACACGTAAACTGAAGCTTCCTTGATCGAATGATGTGATCTTCGTTCCAATATGAAAACACCATTTCTTAGAAACGAGCTTTAGATGAGCATGATGTAAAAATGACATATTGCCCAAAACGTCTTCCAAGTTTAAAAATTCATTATGAAGAAGCGAATGTTTCGATTTGAACTAAATCTTCACCACAAATAAGCTAAAGCTTCGTTTATAGTGATGAGACTCCTGGTATGTTATCTAAAAGAGTTCTTCAGAAACGGGCTTTAGACGAATGCAATGTATAAATGACAAACCGGCCAAATTAATTTCAAAGTTTAAAAATTAATTTTGCAGAATCGAATGATTCGATTGGAACCAAATTGACATCACACGTAAACTGATGCTTCCTTGATCGAATGATGTGGTGTTCGTTCCAATATAAACAAAATTTTTCTTAGAAACGGGCTATAGATGAGCATGATGTAAAAATGACATATCGCCCAAAACGTCTTCCAAGTTTGAAAATTCATTATGAAGAAGCAAATGGCTCGATTTGAACTAAATCTTCACCACAAATAAACTAAAGCTTCGTTTATAGAGTAATGAGACTCCTGGTATGTTATCTAAAAGAGTTCTTCAGAAACGGGCTTTAGACGAATGCGATGTATAAATGACAAACCACCCAAAATATTTTCAGTTTAAAAATTAATTTTGCAGAATCGAATGATTCGCTTATAACCAAATTGACATCACACGTAAACTGAAGCTTCCTTGATCGAATGATGTGGTCTTCGTTCCAATATAAAAAAAAACATTTCTTAGAAACGAGCTTTAGATGAGCATGATGTAAAAATGACATATCGCCCAAAACGTCTTCCAAGTTTAAAAATTCATTACGAAGAAGCGAATGGTTCGATTTGAACTAAATGTTCACCAGAAATAAGCTAGAGCTTCGTTTATAGAGTGATGGGACTCCCGGTTCGTTCTCTGAAAGAGTTCTTCAGAAACGGGCTTTAGACGAATGCGATATATAAATGACAAACCACTCAAATTATTTTCAAAGTTTAAAAATTAATTTTGCAGAATCGAATGATTCGATTGGAACCAAATTGACATCACACGTAAACTGAAGCTTCCTTGATCGAATGATGTGGTCTTCGTTCCAATATGAAAAAAACATTTCTTGGAAACGAGCTTTAGATGAGCATGATGTAAGAATGACATATCGCCCAAAACGTCTTCCAAGTTTAAAAATTCATTACGAAGAAGCGAATGGTTCGATTTGAACTAAATGTTCACCAGAAATAAACTAGAGCTTCGTTTATAGAGTGATGGGACTCCCGGTTCGTTCTCTGAAAGAGTTCTTCAGAAACGGGCTTTAGACGAATTCGATATATAAATGACAAACCACTCAAATTATTTTCAAAGTTTAAAAATTAATTTTGCAGAATCGAATGATTTGATTGGAACCAAATTGACATAACACGTAAACTGATGCTTCCTTGATCGAATCATGTGGTGTTCGTTCCAATATGAACAAAATTTTTCTTAGAAACGGGCTATAGATGAGCATGATGTAAAGATGACATATCGCCCAAAACGTCTTCCAAGTTTAAAAATTCATTATGAAGAAGCGAATGGTACGATTTGAACTAAATGTTCACCAGAAATAAGCTAAAGCTTCGTTTATAGAGTGATGGGACTCCCGGTGCGTTCTCTAAAAGAGTTCTTCAGAAACGGGCTTTAGACGAATGCGATATATAAATGACAAACCACTCAAATTATTTTCAAAGTTTAAAAATTAATTTTGCAGAATCGAATGATTCGATTGGAACCAAATTGATATCACACGTAAACTGAAGCTTCCCTTATGACAAAAAATATTTCTTATTAGAAACGGGCGTTAGATGAGTATGATGTAACCTTTTAACTCCTTTAAACTTTAACTCGTTCTGGTAATAACTGATAGCTTCATATGACCCAATAGATATTTTCGATTATTTCCGAAATTTAAGCTGTTATAAATATATTGTTGAATAAAATACCGAAAACCTGATGTTGCCAGTCAACCATTAGGAAGATATGGTGTGAGTTATTCGCCTGTAGATAAGAACTCATGTAAACCTATTTTATAAATACCGCAACTGCTTTTATCGTTTATCTCTTTACGCTCGATTAACGCAATACATCCACAATTCACCGCATTGTGTAATTTTTTTACATTATCCATATTCTCCTATCGTTATCGTTTTAGTAGAGAAATTAATTTCAATTTTTATATTTATTGACGCAACACATCACTTTATTAAGTATATTTAGAAATCCGTGCGATATGTTTAAGCCGGATTTTCGAGTACTTATCTATATTTCTTTAATCGTGGTTATTGCATTTATTTGTGAAGCGATTATTATTAATAAAATTTTCATTTCTTGATTTAGTTCTGATTATTTTATTGTGAATCTCGACGAATTCACACCATAAAGTCTTGTTGGATTAAGATTTACCATTTAGATTAGTTGACGCAAAATACACTTAAAAAAGAATCGAACCTCCGCCAGTATCAGAGGCGTTAAAGGTTTGTGATGCAAGTAGGTGCAGATCTTACGATGTGTTCGCTTCAGTCACCCTCCGACCGGTTTCTGATGGGAGCTTAAAGACTCGAAACCGGTTCCAGCGGTGCCTGAGCACATCTCGGTATCTGCAAGTCACTTTGTGGTAAAAATTTCCATTATTCAGGTGCTTGCAAAAACTGTTTTGCATCGGATATCTATTTATAAAAAATGGAACATAATTGTACTTTTTTTCACGGCCTGCATTAATACACAATTGTCTATGATCGAACTTAATATATTCAACATTGTTGTATAATCAGGTGCTCAAGCTTGTTGCTGAGGCCATTAAGCAATAAAAACATTATTTCAACTAGATAAAAATAGGTTTGTCAATTGGGTATAAATTAGCTGATCTACGCTTAATTACTCACTTAATTTCAATCATAGTCGCTCGTCAAGTCTGAGTCAGATTTGAAAATGGGGTCGTTGCTTATTTTCTCGTTACGTTCTTTTGAAGCGCGTTTCTCAAGAATCATTACCAGCACTCGATAAAAGAGGCTCTAGTTTATTTGTGGCGAAAATTTGGTTGCGATCGAACCATTCGTTTTTACGCGAAGAGTTTTTAAATTTGAAGATATTTGGGACAGTTTGTCATTTTTACATGCTTATCTAAAGCTTGTTTCTGAAATTTTTGTTTCGATATCGAGCTCACGAGACCAATACTGGATAAAGCAAGCTTTGGTTTACCAGTAATCGCAATTTCAAACCAATCGAGCCATTCGTTGCTTCATAATGCATTTTTAAACTTTGAATATATTTGGGGCAGTTCGTCATTTTTACATCATGACGATTTAAAGCTTGTTTCGGGAGAACCGTTTGAGATCCTGGAACAAGGGCAACAGCCCCAGATAAAGGAACCTTTAGTTTACTGGTCGTGTTGATTTGGTTCCGATCACGTCATTCGTTCGCTCAGAATTAATTTTTAAACTTTGAAACTATTTTGGGCAATTTATCATTTTTAGATCATGATCATCTAAAGCTCGTGAAGCTTTGAAAAACTATTTTCGACGTAACGAGGGATAAGCACTCGACAAAGGAAGTTTTAGCTTAGTGCAGTCTACATTTAGTAACAATCGAGTAATTAGTTCCTTTAAAATTAATTTTTAAATTTTGAAAACATTTTGAGCGGTTTTTCATATTTACATCACACTAATCTAAAGCGTATCGCGGAAGAACCATTTTATATATAGGAAAGGAAGACTCAACCCTCGATAAAGAAGGCTTTAGTTTACCTGTATCAATTTGGTACAAACCGAGCAATTCGTTTCTTCGTAATGAATTTTTCAACTTTGGAAACATTTTGAGCAGATTGACAGTTTTACTTCCTCGTCATCTAAAGCTAGTTTCTAAAAACCGAGATTCGATATTGCAACGAGAGACCAGCAATCGACAAAGAAGACCTAATTTTACCTATAAGATCAATTTGGTATCAATTGAGCCATTCGTTCTTCCATATTTAATTTTTAAATTAAAAAAATTTTGGGCGTTATGCCATTCTCATATCATGAGCACCGAAAGCTTGCTTCGGAAGAACCATATTCTAGATATCGGAACCAAGGCCCCAGCACTGATTAAAAGAAGCTTTAACTTACTAGTAGTTTCGATTTGGTACCAATCGAGCAATGCGTTCTTTCATAGTCATTTTTGAAACTGAAAAAAACTTAGTCTAACCCAAACCAACCGTCCAAGTTTTTCAGACAAAGTCATGCTCTCAGCGTGGCCAAATAACCACCAAGTGAAATATTTTAATCACTAAATTTAACTAAAAACAAGACTAAAGCCGTACATTTTTATTAGAATGAAAAACTGGCTGATGTATGGTACATCCAACACAGTAAACGCGATTTTATTTTAAGTTTTTCCATACGCAATAGAGTATTTAATTTTTTCCTCGAAAAAGAGTTAAGATATGAAATTATGGCAAGAGGCAAAAAGCTGTATTTTGAGCTACTTAAACTGAGAAAAATACACAGTAATACAGAAAAAATATACACTTTATACACAATTCCCTTGGAACACGACTGGAACTCACTCAATCTTCTAGTTAGTTCTAAACTAGCGTTTTGTAACAATCCACGACTCAGTCAAGTATCAGTGAAATAAAAATTATTTGAAATTTTTATTTAAAAAAACTGGTGCTGCTTAATATCTAATATACTCAAGTCAAAAAACGCAAAATTTCCCGTTATAATTTGTGGCGTTAATATGAACTTTTCTATTTGAAATTTAATTAAATTGTTTAATTAAATTTATTGTTTATAAACCACCCTGTGTATTTGAAATACGTCAATTCATTACCGTTGGCATTTAGGCCTGCTCAGTGCAAAGAAACACGAGCGATTATAGCCCCGTCTCTTTTCCACTAGTGTTTCCAACTAGCAAAACCACTGAAAGAAACCCCTGCTAACAATAGTCACGTCTGGCTTGACCTTAAGTAATTAATAACCAATCGCTAATTTCTAGGTTAACTGCGGCTCTATCTATTCTTGCGTGTAATTAAAATTTAAAACCTTTGCAAATAAGCAACTCCTAGCAAGATAAATCACCTTTTTTGTGTAGCTCTGGAATAGATCAGGAACAGATAAAATCGCCGGCTAAAATCCGCTGGTTGGCTGGGATTACGTTAGATTTTATAACACAGATTTAGATTTCGTCACGTTTTGGTCGTAACCGCTCAAACCATGCGAACCGGCAGCAAACGAATAGAGAACTACCGTTTCTTGCAAGCCACTTACTAGCTTTGCACACGCTTTCCCATTGAAAACCAGCTGGCTGAATCTTCAATGCGTAACGTGGACCTAATGTTGCGTCATTGGGAAAATTTCCGCTTGCCAGTCGGAGATTGTCTGCATTTTTCCGCTAATTAGCACACATTCTCTTATGAAGTGTAAATTGAAAAATAATTAAAAATAATTACGAATTTGCCGCCAAAAGTGGCAAGGTCTAAAAAGTCGCTCAATGGAGTGAACAACCGAACGCGTTTCTCTATGCTCTATGCCAACCAATGACATGTGGACCCCGTCATGCGCCATAAATGAAAGCCGCTTCCGGTAAACATCCCTCTATAAGCTGTGCTTTTATGATCGTTTTTTTTACTAATTTATCGCATTTTTTTCCCTATTTACGTTTCGAGAGACTTCCGGCTGATCCAGACTTGGTTCCCAGTGAGTTTGGCGCATTCGTTTGATGATTGTCACGCGTCGTATCCAAAGAATCGGCGATTATCTTCACCGGCAGGCGTCCAAACATGGAGCCTTCTAGGCGTCTAGCTGGCAGCAGTTTTGCGTAAAGCACACCCTTACTACAGCTTATATACAATTGACTACATCCGAGATTGATTGCCATCTATTTTGCACCCTCATTAAAGACTGAGCATTGGAAAATTGGTATGTTTACTGACAAAATTATCTTAGTTAATTCACTGGCAGCCATTGCTGTCCGGGTCAATAACGTCTAATTAAATCAATTCCCAAGAATAAGCTAGTTCTAATTCAATGTGTATTGACTATCAAAGATATGAACTCTTCTAATTGAGCCTCTGGAGTCGCCAACTGAATCATGGGAGTGCAGGACTTGCAGACTTTTTTGGAGAGTGTCGCTTTAGAAGGGGGCTCAGTATCGGTGGACCTGTTGAAAATTGCCAGAAATGTGTGCCAGCGACAGCAACCCCACAATACAAACCGCAAAATTAGGCCTCCCGGCGGCAACAAACTACGTTTAATTGTGGACGCTGAAAATTGCCTTGACAGGTTATATGGGGGCTATTATTCAGGTACGTAGTACTAGATTATTGCCCAACGTGTATTTACTAGCAGAATGGCAAAAACTCGCCCTGTTTACTGGAAGGGCCAAGTATTTCAATATTTATTATTATATTAATATTTCACCAAATAGATATTCAAAGGGTAGCTCATTCAGCCTTTCTGCAAAAATTAAATTTCGGTTGAGGATGTTTTGTAGCTCTAAGCCCATAATAATGAATGCAGGTTAAACCCAAAATTGCTAATTATTTCCAAGTTGTTTAGAGCAGGGTTTAAAAACTCTGGGACAGAGACTAACACCTTTATTGTTGTACACACGAATAGGTACATGGCAAATATTGTTTCCTATTTTCAACTTCATTACATTTAAGCTTTCAGACTTTGGACCCATTACGAGTCTGAGTGTATTAAGTATTTTTTGTTTCATCTGTTTATGACATAGCACTGTTTTTATTCTGTTTCTAATATTTCCCTTGATTGTTTTTGTGTGCTTTTTAAAGATTGATAATTGGGTGTGCATATGTGCCCGGTTGGTAAATAGTTTATACATTTTGCTTTACTTAATCGTACGTAATTCTGAGCCAGGTAAATTTGTTGTTTGCTTAGACTACTTCATTTAAAGTGTATTTTAAGGTATAGAAAAATAATTTAAATCCGCCACTGTACGGATGTAGTTATTTCCAGCCAGAAATTGAAAGATTTATATTGCCGTAAATCTCCATTCCAAAAGTCATAAAAAAGTTCACTCAAATAAAGAATTGCGTTAATCTACCGGAAATTCCGGTTTTAGTTTTTTTCCCAAATTTTCTTCTTTTTCTTTTCCTCTTTCCAGTTAGTAGTAAATAGTTATCAAATAAATCATGATTAAAAATAAACTATTTTGTATTTCTTCTTCTCAAAACGCGAAATCCTTGAGAAATCTAACTCCATTGGAGTTTTCTTCTTTGAAATTGATATGATCTGCAAGCTTTGTGCTGTCTTGCAATTTACAATTCGCGTCCATACATATTTTAATCAATATTTTCCATTGTCTTGTAGGGATTAGAAAGTTCAAGAGTTACGAATATGGTGTGTACAGTACATACTTTTGGTTTTCCTGAGGACAAATGTTATTAGTATTGTGATCGTTTGTTCGAACATCACGACTATTTAGTTATCGCTTATTGAGCTTTAATTAAGTTTGCTCAGCACATCTTCTATGTCGAGTTGTTCATTTTTTTCTTAAGTCAGTTTAAATCTCCGTGACCAGGAAGAGAGTAAAATATTAATTAAATCATACATATATATATATAAATCATATATACAATTATCGACGAAAACTCAATTAAATTAGTCCAAATTGGGAGTAATCGCACATTAAAATAAACAGGATATAATTGCACAAATTAAAGATTTGTTTCTGCTGTTTGTTTTAACATTGTGAGAACTGGATTTAATGCGTTTTTGTCCAATCATAAAAACGCGTCAAGCAATATGGTATTTTTCTGCTGCTTACCAGTCTCCCTAACAATCCCTTGGCGAATAAATTAGTAGGATATGATCTCAAATCTAACAGTGGAAGATCAACGCTCTTTGTTTTGCGATAACACTCAATATTCCTCATTCGTTTGTTAGATTGGGCCTGTGGAGGACAATGGAACCGAATGATTCAATATTTATCGTTACTGTGCAGTGCTTTGGAGAATGGTAACATTGAAGTAGCCGTCGTGTTTAATGGAACAATTGAGCAATGCCGCATGGATGAGTGGAAAGCCGAGCAGGCAAATGCGCGACAGAAAGTCGGCATGGTGTTAAAGCACATCAACACCAAAGGCACGCCGCCTCCCAAGGTATGGTGGACGCCCCCTATTACTTTGAGAGCAGGCCTGAGAATGGCGTTGCGACATTTAGGAGTTCATGTGGTGAGTTCATGAGGAGAAAATGTTTGGATTTCGAGAGCTAATTGAGATGAGTATCAGATGTGCACCATGGACGATCATCATCAGGAAGTCATAGCATATTGTCGCGAATATGGATTTCATGGCCTTTTGGCTGACGATGCTGAGTATGCTGCCTTTGACCCTCCTCGCTATTTTTCCTCCGAGAATTTGAAACTTACTTATAAGGTAAGTTGCGCCAAAATTTGCTTTGGATCTTAATGCCAATGAGAATATTCTCTTTAGAGCTCTATTGAGACAAAGGAATACATGCTGAGTGTATTGACAAAGTCGCTTAATGTGACCCAGGAGCAGATTTGTATCATGGCAGCTTTGCTTGGCAACTTTTTGTTGCCTGAAAGCGAACTGCAAGACTTGTACAGGAAAATCAATTTCGTCAAAAAAGAAGAAGACGTAAGTTTTTGACCATCCACGAAACAACTCTAGTGTCGCATTGTCAATATTTGCGCTTGTTGCAGTTTGCTGAAAGTTCAGTGAGATCTCTGGCCGAATTTGTTAGAACCCTGCCACCGTCTTCAAATATGGAAGGTCTAGTAATCGCAGTTTTTGGATCATTGGAAGACAAACGAGCTGCTCGATTCAGGCAGTCGGTTCAGTATTATCTAAATGGCACAGCCAGTGGCTTTCTAAAGTATGGAGCGCCAGGTAAAAGCCCCATTTATCCCGGTTTTTGCACAGTAGTAAGTCTGTCTGTTTTCAGCAAAGCCCAGGCAGAAAAATATTGAAAAGAAAAACATTCCGGTACCTAAAGACGAGGCGGTCGTAGACCAGCTGGTGTTTGCTTCAGAGACTTCGGAGCAACAAGTAAAAACCACCGGAATTTGTTTTTGATTTAATCCAACACTAAAATTATTCTAGAGAGAAACGCTGCAAAACTACAACTTGTTGACTGCTAATAGTGTCTTGTCGTCTGATTTTGCTGAAATGGACATTCTCATTAAGTCAGCAGGTATGTATAAGTTATGATATTCTTATCTTTCCTGGGTCTCAGTCAAAGTGTGAAGTAAAAATTTTAAACATCGTTTATTTCATTACGTTTCGGCGAGTCAACAGCGCCATCATCAGATTTAAAATTTACACAAACTACAAACACCAATTCACAATTAAAACATGTTGTATAAAAACTATAATTTACAAAGTGTTAAAACATTCATCAGTTTTTGAGGGAAAAAATCCTTCCTTTTGGGAGAGCAAAACACTAGAAAAACTTACCTCGGGATTGGTAAAAATCAACGTTCTTTTAGGCCTTCTTGAAACCTTAAATTTGTCTGAATTATTTTCTACATTTGCGACAGTGGTATGCATGTATTGAGATAAGCAGAAATAGTTTCAATTTTTCACCAGTGTACTGGGTGTTCCATACTACCATAAATATAAATATACCATACATACTATAAATTGTAAATGGCAATAGAGAATACAGAATATGCATTCGTGTCAAAGAACATTGTGAGCGCAAAACAGTTTTTTTTTTACATTTAAACTTACTACAATACTTTGATATTAGTACACTTAGCTATTCCTCGAATTGGTATAAAAATTACCTCTCTACCTTTCAAAATAGAAAAGTTAACGGCGCAGTCCCGTTATCATTTGTACTGAACAACTCTTGTAAGCATATGCAATTGTAGTAAGTATTTTGATTCCCGAATGGGGAGTGCCTATTTTAACTAGCCAATGGGGCAGTTTGGGAATACAAACACTACAAGCGGCGCTTAACATTAACTATCTAGGATCCAGAGATTCGTCTAAGCAAAGTTATTAAGTTTCATTCGTACCCGATACCAACAAAACTTGTCACCTTTATTTTTGCCTTTTCAAGAAGGAACCTTGGTGGACTCTCTTTTAGATGATTCTCCAACCTCGTCTACTGATCCTTTACAACGCGAAAACGGAGTGGCTAACGGCGGCGTTCATACGGGTGTCAAAGAAGCCCAAGATGCTATCAAGTTTTCCAGTGGAAAATCCAACAGTAACTCAAGCAAGCAATCGGGCTCCAAGCATGGTAAACGGTTTTAATCACATATTTCGGGCCAAGATAATGAACTTTTGTGCCTTTTGCAGAAAACATTGTGGTCCCTTCAGTTTCCCCGGACGTTTTGCGTACAGCATCGCTCCGTCATCAAAAGGGACTGATGGCCCCCACCATTCTTCATGTGCTGAGTACTCAAGAAGTGCGGCTTCCTTGTCTGATGGAAGACGAAGGCAACAGAGAGTTTCCTCCGATTCATGAGATTTACCTGCCGCTCAGACGGCGAATTTATGCAGTTTTATTTAACTTGCATCATTTACGTTATGTTTACACAAAAAAGAAAGGTAACGGGCGCCGATAATTGGAGTTAACGCTTAATTTATTTTGAAAATATTTCCAAAAAGAGAGCGGAGAATTAGCAGAGAATGCTCCGCCACCAGACGTGGTGGTGAAGGAATGGGTATACAGCAGATCTAACCCCTATCAGACTCCCGAACAAGTAAAGGCTGAACTTTTACCATGGGCTGTGCCCACATTGCAACGCCTATGGTTTGGGCCGGCTGTGGACGATAAACGGCGCCGAATGCGAGCCTTTTTATCCTGCCTCAACTCCGACACCCCCCTGATCCTGAACACAGCCTATGTACCCCAACATATGTTGATTATGGCATGCGTTTTAAGGTAGGAACCGATTTAGTTGTGCTTTTTGCGCAGTGGAAACTTCTTCAAGCGCGCTTAGCACAGCAATGAGACTGAGCCGTCACGTTCATCTATGTAACGCTCAGTCGAGGAAAGTCCACTCGTTAACTAAAAAATTTGATTTTGAATATATCGGACATAATATTTTTATTAAATTGTCAAAGTTTACGTGCACATGCTTTGGACCTCGATGACTGTTACGCAATGTTCATGTATATTGATTTTATCAGAAACGTGGATGAGACATGAAGATCGTGAGATTTATTTACTCCAACGCGAACGGTGATTCCATTTAAATGTGTCCATTTTGGTCCACCTACCGCAAATCTTACTTTAGATTCCTAACGGCTTGTAACAAAAATTGCAAGAGATATTTTTAGTTTGTAATGCAAGGAATTTCAAAAATTATGGTAATAATTAACAAATTCGGTAGCGTGCCTGCCACCCACGCGACTGGCAACAATTTGAAGAAATCTTTCATTTTGCATTTTTTCAATTACATTTCAACACCATGTATCGAAGCATTTTTGAGCTATCGTTTATATGGTAAACTCGAGTTACTTTCGGACGTAGAATACGTCGTTAAAATAATGCTCTTTCCTCATGAAACACCTTGCGTTTTGTAAATGTTATTTTACTTTGCGAAAATGGAAAAAAAATAGTTATTAGTGCCTGGCTCAGCTTGTTGAAGTTTTCACCTGTATGGTGTGGTCTTAAGCACCCACAATAATTTTATACGCTTCATGTGGGGTTTTCAGGTACATAATGTCCCAAGATCGCCCGATTCTTCGCAGAAATGAGCTCGATTCTTTCTTGTGTCAAGCATTCAATCCGAATTTGATGAACGTTCAACATCTGCAAGAACTTACTGTAAGTGATTGTTTCAGGTTTCGGTGTAATTGATTTTCATTTAGGGATTTTTATTTGCTCCAGTTGAACTTTGTATTAAGTCGCGGTGTTCAGCTAGCTGCGCTCTTTATGAAAGGAGTAGATATGGCCATATTGGCTAACGACGCCTGCGGCGCCCCCTTGCCTTGGCTCATGTGCTGTCCCTGGCTGTATTTCGACGGCAAACTGTTCCACTACACCCTATCCAGATCATCGCATGCCAAAAACATTCTGGAAGTATGCGACAACTATATCGAACGTGTGGTCAAGGTAGAGCGGATGAGGAAGGCCATTCTAGAGGGGCTTGACTTCAAGTTTGTCAAGGTGCCTCCACCGCAATTCCAAACAGGTTTGCCCTCTTAAACTGCGAACGAATCGCATCATGTCGGGTTTATTGCTTCCATTAGGTATACCGGCAAATTATTTGCCTGCATTGCCTTTGCCTTCGGCCCGAGTTGGCCCGGGAGCTAGAGGGCGGCCAATTCCGTCCCGGGGCGGTCAGTTGCAAGTGGCCGGAGTTGTTGTAGGCTCTTGGGGCGCCAACTACGGCTATCAGAACAACTTGAGACAGGGACAAGTAAGGTTTTAGTTTCAAGGAACGACGGTTTTAGGCATGGTTTTTTTTTTCGTTTAGCAAATAATGCCGGCCGGAATGACCCCATACAGAGCCCGCGGCCGAGGCTATGCTGGAGCTGCGTTTGGACGCGGCAGGACTCCAAAGCCAATCACGTATCCAGTGGTTAACAGGAAAAGTCAGGTAATTTGGGGATTTTTGCGATCACTTGTTTAGTGAACAGTGAGGGGTGATGGCGGTTGGTTTTCTTGTAGAAGTTGGGGTTTCGTTCACTAATCAATCTGGAAGCTGGGGACGCTTATTCACAGTCTTTTTGAAGCATGGGCGCTTATTTGGTTTAAAGAGCCTTTCTCTTTTGCATTGTTGGTTGTTATTAAAGGGATGTTTTATTTGAGCGCTTTAAATTATTTTTGATTAATAGGAATTATTCAATATGGACCATTACGACAAAATCTTACAGATATGGCTCTAACGTGACGTAGCTTAGATAACTATTGGAATCGCTCGGGAATGGCATGCCTGTTGAAAATATCGAGATGCGCCAGCTTGAAAAGGCGTGCTATTTGCATAAACAACGAAAAAGTGAAAAAAAATCCGAAAATCGCGTTTTTTCTTGGGAACAATCGCATAAAACTCGGTAAGTTTGCATTTTGGAGAAAAAAATTATACTTGCAAAGTTGGGGCGATATCCGTAGATTTGAATTGTTAGCTTTAAAATACTCGAAGTGCAAAAAATAGGTAAAAACAAGGTAATTTCAAATTATTTATTTTACAATGGAAAAAATAACCCAGTCACGCCCTACATTTAGAGAAAAGTACTACATTTAGAGAGCTGCACTACAGAACGAGAGCCGCTAGATCGGGCGGATAATTTTTTGCATAAAGCAATTGGTAAATAACCTACCTGAAAAAAACCTTTTTTATTTGTGCCTTATTTATTGTTATAAATATTTTTTGCGTCCTGGCTTTTACGCCTTCTTGGGCCCTTAAACTATCATACAATTGCTATATTAACTATAACTAAGAATATTTTTTCAATTTATAATAACTTTCAACGGTTTTAAAAGTTTTTAAATTGTTACTTTTAAGTAAATAAGCATGTGAAGCGTGATTTGCGAGTGGGAAAAAATCGGATGTATACAAAAATAGTACCCTGATGTTTTCTCACTCGCAAATCCCGCTTCACAGGCTTATTTATTTAGAAGCAAACTTTTTAAAACCGGTCCAACAGCTGTAAAACAGTAAACATTTTAAAATGTTTAATATAGCAATTGTATATGATAGTTTAAGAGCCCAAGAAGATGCAAAACTGTGGGAGCAAAAAAATATTCGCAACTTTGAGCCTGGCAGATAATTAAAAAAAGGTATTTTTCAAGGTAGGTTATTTAAAAATTGCATTATGTGAAAACTGGCCGTCCGATCTTAATCGGCTTTGCGACTCTCGTTATGTATTGCAGTCAGGTACTTTTATCTAAATGTATGGCGTGATTGGCTTAATTCTTCATTGTTAAATAAATAATTTAAAATTACCTTGTTTTTTACCTACTTTTTGGTAAGTTTCGAGTTTAAAGCGAACATTTCACATCTACGGATATCGGACCAACCATAGAAAGTTTCATAACGCATAAATTAATAAGAATAATTTTTTTCTCCAAAATGTATACTTACCGAGTTCTATGCGAATGTTTCCGGGGAAAAACGCGATTTTCGCTTTGTTTCATTTTATGCAAATAGCGCACCTTCTCAATCTGGCACACCTCGACATTTTCAATAAGTATGCCATTCCCGAGCGATTCAAAATGTTTCAGGTTTTCTTTACCTTTATGTGGAAATGTTTTGAGTATCTCAAATGCCTGCCAGAAAGTTTGCTTGCTCTATTTGTGTGTATTTTCGCATCAATCGTTGGTAATCGACTTTAGAAACTAATAATTTGTAAAAAATGGCACTTGCCTATGGACTAAATTGCAAAATTTTCTTATAGGGAAACAAAAAGCGCAACACTAACAAATCTAACAAGGAAAAGCAATTGAAGGGGCTGCCTTTAACTGTTAAAACCGATAACGGGTACGTAGCTCGTGCTTTTACCTGTCGCCTTTTATGCAACTGTGTATATTGCTTATTGTGCATACTTCGAAAGGATGTTGATACTTGGCGGGATTTCGAAATATTGAATTTAATCATCATCGTTTAAAAAGTTCTAAATTAAACTATTAATCATTGACGCATCAAGCAAAATGATAAAATTTTGTCCACATGCTTGTGCAGGATCATCGTGCAGACTCTTTCTAAATAACTAAGTATCAACGCCCTATACTTATGTGTAGATGTAATGTTTAATCTGGAAGTAAAATGGTAATTTTTCTGAAAATAGAGACGTGCAAGTGAATGAAATAATCGCAAATTCAAACGGCGAATCTGTCGGCTCAAGGGAGAAATCAGAAGACTGCGCCAAGACAGCGGACCATAAAGGACAGGGCGATGCTCCTAGTCTTGTGTCAGTCTAAACTTCCAGCCTATACTTATAGTTTTCCCTAAATTGACTAGATGATGAATTCTCAAGAATTTTCATTAATTTGGAAAATCTTTGGAATCCACTACTAGCAAAACGGGAAAAAATCCTTCGAGGAATAAACTTGTGTTGCAGTGAAAGTGAAGTTGTCGGGGATTGTGTTGTCTGTAAGCTTCCTTAGATGAAGACTGAAACACCCGTGAACAATTTGCTATTAAGATATATACAGGGTCGGATTTTTGCATGTTGCGGCACTGATAAAATGCTGTGTTCAGATTAGTCAAAGCGACTGATTGTTTTGAGAGCATATTGTATATTTTTATATGTTTGTTACAACTGTTATAATTATATTGACTGAGACGTCGCTACAATGTATGCGCGCAACTGTGATCATATTTATGGTATTTATATATTAGATCTGTTGATTTGGCCACTTTGATCGCTCTGCACTGCAGATCCAAAGTTGGGTTTGACTGGAATAAGGATATGGTTCACGAAAATCGTCATAAATATATATATATAACCCTGAAGATTGCAAAACCCTGATTTATCCGCCTATGTAGGCTTAAAGAAATTCAAGTTTTTACATGTTTGAACGTAGGCGAAGTTTACTCCCAACACTCAAGTACGTTGCATCCGAACGTGTACAAAACATTCTTCATTGTTCTAATAAGTAATGTCCAACATGTATTACAAAATCACTTTTGAGTGCATTTGCTTGTGACTAAATGTTACTTTCAACCGAAACACCCACTAAGATTTGAAAACCAAAAATCATATTTGATCATACAATCTTGCGCATTATTGCTCATACGAGACAATAAAGCGTGTATGTAAAACTACAATGGCAAAAAATGTCTAAATGATAAAAGAAATATTATTGATGAATCGACCGCGATTCTTTACCCGAAAAAAATAATTATTGTAATGATATATTACTTATCAAAAACGGTATAACCACTTTAAATATTTTACGTAGCTGTTCAGTAACAGATCATACACAGCGACTCTATGAAGGGTCGCCTCAGATTAGCTCACCATTTACGTAGTTTTAGCCAAGTCTTTGAATAGACCATGAACTAGTAATTGTTCGTAAAAAGCTTCTAATGGTAATTTATATAACCTTTTTGCTTAATATAATTATCTCTTTAATATTGAACTGTGCGTCAATGAATATGCATAAATGCCCAAAAAGTTTTGTATTTTTTCGGATACTTTTTTAAACTTTATTACAAAATGTCATTGGGCAATGCCTGCATATATGTTAATTTTTGTTTAATGATATTTCAAAAGTTACTGTTCAGCATTGTTTTCTAACCGTTTACACTCGACTTATTGTTGAAATATTTAAAGGCTTCCTCATTTCCTTACCATATAACAACGTTAAACACATGCAGAGATTTTTTATTATATCAGCCTGAAAAACTAGCCCACAGTAATTTAAGCGAGATACTTCATATAAATTTTGGTTTTATTAGGCTTCCAATAGTATTTGAATGTAATTGACGTGCGGTTTACTTGATTTGAAAAAATGTTTAAACCTTTAGTCATTATGAAATTTTCATACAGATCTTGCTGGCGCACAACGGATTAATGTATGTTTTCCTGAAGCAAATGACTAAAGGACTCTATATTATGAGAAAATCCGAATGTTTGCTTTGTTTCTTATGTAAGAATGCTTTCTAATTTTTAGTTTTAAGGGATGGTAATTTTCCCCAGAGTGCATTTATCAAATTTCCAATAAACTTGTATAAGTCATTCTCGGTCGCACGATAATAAATAGTAATCATATTTAATGCTTGAACTATTTAGATTTTTCGAAAACATGTAGTAGAGTAACTTTATTGTTTTCAATTTCCGCTGTTGAGAAAAACCTATTGTAACTATGTAATTGCTGATTATGGTATATTGTATTGGCTCTGTGGGTGAAAAGGGCATCCATGTAATTGTTAGACATAGTAATTGGGGCAGGCCTTTAGTGCTCAGCCACCGTTAAATTCACACACACACTTTTTTCTTGTAATCATTTTTCTTAGTAAAAACATAACCATTCAACTGTTCAACGATGATTTTTTTCGAGACAAACGGCCTCTGATCTGAACAATGTTCTTAACTGAATGAACTTAGTGGTGCAGTTGAAGGCGTTTGTTTGATGTCTAATATACTATTGAACCATTTTTTCCGTTTTCTTTTTCCCGTTGTTCAGAATACCCATATTGATTATTGTAAATGACTTCCTTTTTGGTCAAAAAATGCAAGGTTTAACCGGAAGAAATGCTTGTCCAACGATTTGCGATTAGGGATATTATGCGGATGAACACAGTGTCTAAATTTTTTCAATTATTAGTTGTACGAAAAACTGTATTTTTCGAACTTATCAGGCGATTTTTCTTCGTTGAGTTTTTTTTACTTTCGATAACTCATTGAAATTTGTCATGATCCCGTGTGATTTTATGGAAAAGTAGAGAATTTTGAAAATGACCCGATTAACATTTGGGTCTGAATCTTCGCTATGGAAAGTTTTTATTTATATTTAAAATTTATAGTACAGTGTTTCGTACTTTTCAACTGTAATCAACTTTTCTATATAACAATTTTCGATGTTGTGGCAAATAAAGGTATATTTGTGACCTTCTTGCGTCGAAAGGAATCGATTGAGCTCAAAAAACACGCATGTGAAATTTTGATTTTTGGTTGGAATTTTTCCAAAAGTGGGAGTCGATTTTTTGAAAAAAATTATTTCAAAAATTTTTCAAAATGTCTTAAATTTTACATCATTTTCAGCTCACGGACGCGAGGAATGCATCGAACTCATTGAAAAACCTGGTAGGTTTCAGATCCGACAATGGGAGGGTCGATTTTTTGAAAAAATTAAAAATTTTTAAAATGTTTTAAATTTTACATCATTTCCAGCGTACGCGAGGAAAGCATCAAACTCACTGAAAAACCTGGTAGAAATTTCAGATCCGAAATAACAGACATTTTCGGCACATTTTAAGTATTTTTTGAGCGTTCACGATCTTTATCCGACGATTTCTTCCTTATTATTGACCCAAACGCTTTATAAAAATGCATATTTGTGACCTTCTTGCGTCGAAAGGAATCGATTGAGCTCAAAAAACACGCATGTGAAATTTTCATTTTTGGTTGAAATTTTTCCAATGGTGGAGGTCGATTTTTTTTAAAATGAAAATTTTATAAAATGTCTTAAATTTTACATCATTTTCAGCTCACGGACGCGAGGAATGCATCGAACTCATTGAAAAACCTGGTAGAAGTTTCAGATCCTAAATAACAGATATTTTCGGCACATTTTAAGCGTTTTTTGAGCCTTCACGATCTTTATCCGACGATGTATTCCTTATTATTGACCCAAACGCTTTATCAATGCATATTTGTGACCTTCTTACGTCGAAAGGAATCGATTAAGCTCAAAAAACCCGCATGTAAAATTTGTACATTATTGTTGAGCACAATTCCTATCTTCTGATATATCTCATATTCGACTGAAAAAAATGTAATTGTACCCAATTTTAGGTTTTGTATATTTGAAGTAGAACTTTTTGCAAAAACTAATTTTTTACGCAAACACTATAAAATAATAATAATAATACACATGCTTCAGAGTCTACACTCAGTTATGGAGCTTTGCTGACGTCACTACCACTCAACCCTTCCCAGTCGTTAGTTGTCAAACTTCAAAAAAGTAAGGTTATAATTCAACATTGTTTGTTTATTATTACCCGAAATACAACAAATTAACCAGCATTTGTTATAAGCATCCCAAACTACACCTTGAACAGTGTTGTGGGAGTGAGAGTGAATATCCAACCAAATACTTTCACCCAAGGTGATTTAAAAAACCTTAAATGGATTAACTATTGGATATTAATTTAGCGTTTCCTATCAACAAGAACTTAATTGCTAGTAGAAATGGTCGGTGTCATACCAAAAAAGTCGGCATCTGGTCGAAAGCAGTGGACAATTCACGGTGGGTAATCTACAGTGTGATCTAAGTGCTAAAATAAGTCAATGGGATTTTGCCCAATTTTTAGGACCTCAGAGGGGTTCATTGAAACGGCTCAGAAGCCAGTTGGCATCAGATGGATGTCCTGAGTCTCAAGTGGTGCTTGCCCGGCAGCTGCTAGATGAAGAGTGTGGTGCGTTTGAAGTAGATCACGGTTGCAGAAAATAATTAAGCAAAATTCCAGAGTACAAAGCGGAGCAAAGAGAAAACGCCAAACTAGGAGTGTACTGGCTTCTAAAGGCGTCTGAGCAAGGCAACTTAGAGGCGACTGAGATGCTGAAATCCTGCCTGAAGACTGGCAAAGGCATCAGCGAGCACAATTACATGGATGTAAAGGCCTGCATATCCATGACGCAGGATGACAAAATTGTTCGGAAGGCTGCCAAGGAAGTATTTGCTAGGTTTGTGTAGAATACGCATTTTTTTGGCAATGCAATGCATGACAACTTCCATTTCAACAGCTTATCAAATGGAGATGAATACATCACATCCAACCAACTAGAAAAGCGAATTCTGGCCATAGATCGCGGTGAAAGTTCAAGCTCAAAGCCAGCAGAAAATGGCCATTCAGCAAATGAAACCGATGGAACAATTGGGGAGATAATGCCCAATTACGATGAGTCTACGGATTCGGAGGAGGAAATTGATTGGTCGGAAAAATCGAATGGAAGCAACGAGAAACTCACTGAAGACTCGCTGGTATCAGCAGCTATAACCTTCTCTCATGGTCAGTTGCCTGTTATTAACAACATGATCTGTCTGGCTCAGCCGAACTTGCGAGCTCTAGATGACATTCCGTTTATTTATTGGTCCTTACTGTATCCAGTGCTATCAACGAAAATCCTCTATTTTAAACTGATGAAATATTTGGGCAACAAATCCATACCGCTGCCCCTGGTCAGGAATGAGATTCAACTGATCGTTCTGTTCCTAATCTACTCGGTAGTTAGCACTGAAAACATTGCAAATTTCCTTCCTACGGTCCTGTTTTACTGTTCGTTTCTAGTGATGATTATCACCACCTTCCAACTGCTGCAAACCCAAAGGGAATTGCACGAGTTTCGTTTATGGAGGGGTTTATTCATCTGCTATTCCAATGGGGATCTAAATGAGTATAGCTTTGAAACTCAGTTCATTTTCAACCATATTAAGCACTATGTTTGGTTCTTTTTCAGCCTCCTCGTGCACTATTTCATGTACTCAATCAATCCCATTAAGTTGGAGTCGGAGTTTACTGTGATGTCTTGCTGCTTTATGTTTATGACTCTTTTCGGTTTTATGCCTAAGCGTCGATCGAAAACAGTCATAGATTCCCTGGTTCTTCTCAGCTTTGCCATCAACGTTCTTGCTCGATACCCTTATGAGACTGACCCGATTGTTTCAAGAGGTTGGAGATATCTGGAACTTGTTTTTCCATCATTTCCCAGTTACGTTGTGGGAAATGGCATCGAGTTCTGCATCAACTTCAGACTGCTGCTCTATGCAGCCATTCCAGTTATTCTGGGCCAAATGGCCATGAAGGAAAATTGGCGCGGCTCATACAAAACGGTTTTGCCTCATTTAGTCACTCTCAGCTGGTTGCAGTACTTTGCGTTGTGTTCCCACAACGCAACTACCTACGGACTGTTTAGAGCGACTTTGGCTGTAGTTGGATCTGTGCTCTTCTTGCCACTAGTTGGTTTAACTTCGGTAATTCTTCCAGTTGCTGCAGTTACTCAATGGATTATTACCTCGAATGTTATTCATTCCATCTGCCTGTTCTTGTTCCTGCTTACTATATGTTTAGCAGTGTGTTTTATGTGCGCCCAAACTAGATATGCCAAATACACGGCTGCAGTTCAAGTAATCCTGATGCTTTTGGCGTTTTTCACTCTCATCAAGACTTCACATTACACCAGCAGTCTTTCAAATAAGTTTTCCAATGATGTTGAATATTCGTCGCACTCCAAGAGCTTGGATTGGAATGAGTTTCAAAAATTGTGCCACCAAGAATCATTGGAAGGCACTGAAACGACCGCGAATGCTCAAATTAGATGCGCCGAATTGGCCGGAGCTCAGATTTTCTGGGAAGGCACTGTTGAATCCGTGACGTTAAGCTCCATTCAAAATAGCGTGGAAAATATTTTAAGCAGATTTCCCAAAGTATTTTCGAGTTATTTATATTGTTTATTTGGCGCGCCGCAGGACTCCTTGTGTGAGCAGGAAAAATCCAGCGACTGTGTTGCATCGCACCAATTTTCCAGCAGCAAGTGCAGCTTGAAAGAATATAATTCCTATTCCTTTGAGATTATGATTAAAATGCCTTCGTTCTACTGGAGGCTCAGCCCGGAGGTTTACCTACATCTGGACAATCAGTTCAAGAATTTCACGCTCAGAACCAAAGCCAAGGATCTGGTATGGTTCAAAGGCGTGCTTCAGAATGAGGCCACATTGGGAAGTAACGGAATTTTGGGCGCAGTCGGCACGCACATCAAAGTGGAGGAAATTGGTTGCCTTGTCTGTTCCGACATCGAGCTGACTTCAACCAAACATGCTGAATCCAGAATTTTTACCATGGATTTGTTGCGCAAATGTTTCAAAGTCTTCAAATTTATTTTGAATGTTGTATTTAATCCCATATTGACTTTTAAGTAGTGGTTACTGCCGGTATTACTTGCTTGAAAATTGTGCAAGGATCTCAAGTGGCTGAGCGAAGAGAATAATCGATCCGTGATAATATGAAAGTCTTGAAATGTATATTTATGTCAACTGTTGTTTAACTCGATGTTTATTTTTATGCAGGGTGTTTTTTTGGATATTAATGTTAAACTGTTTTGTGCTTTGATGATTATGGGAAAATTGCAGGTAAAGCTTTTAATCTTTGATACAAGACGATGACAACTATTTGGGGGAAGGATTTGCTGGATGGAACCCAGTAAAAAACCGGGTGATTGTGAAAGTTTTCGACAGTTAATTGGATTTTTTAACCGTTTTCTTCAATTCTTGTAACTTAAAAAGCATTACCTGCAATGATTGACGCTAAAATCCTCATGTAACTTTTCAAAACTCTTGCGGTATTTTTAATGAAACATCCTGTATATAGACAGTTGCAAACTTGATTGTGCCCACCAATTTGGTGACTTTTTTCTGCTAGTAAACTAATAGTTTTACTTGTGATTTATTAAAATGTTGCATTTAAAAAATATATGGTTTGAAATACATCGACGTGGATTTAAACAGTGTTTGTTTCAATAAATTCATAAATGTATGTATGTATAAAGTATGGTTTCTGGGAAAAAATTGTTTGCTGCGTTCCTTATGAGGTACATATTAAAAAAAAATCGTACTTAAAAAAACAACATTTGTTGAAACTGGGAGATTTTAGCACAAAATTGCTTGATATATTATTAGTTCTATCAAATATTTAAAAAACTTGTGCGTTTAATTGGCCAAAGGTTGGAGTACCTACTTATATTCTGATTTTTCAACTTTATTGAAAAATTATACAAAAAAAAACTATTTACTCTAAAAGTGCCAATTTGTGTATCGTTAATTTTTATGCGAATCCTTGAAAATCGATTGGAAATGTAAAGAAGCCATTAATAACGGAGAAATTTCGAAGTAAGCAAGAAAGTGCTCAATTTTTTTCAGTTTTTAATTGTGTTTTTTGAAGCATATTCGATGAGAAAAACACTATTAAAATCTGGAACTGAGTACAAGCTTGTCTGTATTGTAGGTTTTCTTTAGCTTTAGTATACAATACAATTTGTTGCCCTAGTTAATTTGAAATGTATTTTTTAGCTGTATGTATTCTAGTTATTTTTCAAGAACAACTGAAATTAAATCCAGTCAAAAAAACGCTCAAATAGCTTGATTAATGGCTCGAACTGTAATTTTTTTTATTGCTAATTAATTCATACGGGGTTGCGCAAAAACAGTTTTAATTTTCCAAACGGAATCGAGTGATTTCTTCATTTTTTGGTCTCAAGTAAATGACTCAGTTGAGACATTTAAAATTTATAAAAAAAAACACCGAATCAAACTAACTGGTCCGATTGTTGACAATAAAGTTTCTAACAGTGAAGGTTTGATTTAACTTTTTAGTGCTTTTTTTAAAATTTCCCAGTCAATTTGTAAGTAACTAAACGGTCATAAATCTACATTCAAGAGCACTTTCATCAGTCAAACACTCAAGCAAAAAACCGAAACAAGTGTTTTTATTTGGACAAAAAAAGTTGCATCTTATATTTAGGCCATTAGTCAAGCAATGAAAATTGTTGTAACTGAGACTTTCTTTAGAACATCTCGAATTCAAAATTAATTTTTTTGTTCGCTAATTCGTCCGCATCGTATAAACACATCAAAATTAGTTTTCGCTTCTCAACCTTACAGGGCGTGTGTAAAAATAGGATAATATTAGCGGAAAACTGAGACAAATAAAATTCACTTGAAAAAAAACCACGCAAATCTAAAACTTCTTGAATTCAAGCATTTTTTGAGGAAACTGCCAAGATTTCCTTATCGATGGTTCACTTTCTAAAAAGGCAATTTAGTTCTCTTTAGAATGATGTACAAACGAGCGTTCTTGCTCATTTTGCTTCCGAGAAACATGCAAAACGGGACGGAAAACATGAAATTTTGTAATAATCTTACGCCCTTGCACAAAACGACGATATTTTTTCTAATTTCATAGACAACAGAAGACTGTATTTTTCTACATAACCCCCCCTGAATTTAAAGCTGGATTCGCCCCTGTTTACACGGCGGCCTAAAAAACCAAAACGCTCACCGGTTTCACTATAAATAGACTTCACAAACTTAAATGTGGCTATTCACATACGGTTTTAGCAGCTTTCTGGTACAATTTTCCTTATTTCATGCTAAATAGTAAATTTTCGTTTGAGCAACCAACTTTCACTGTTTATCCTGATTGCAGTGCGTTATTTGCGTTATTGCGGTGTGTTATGGCGCGTTTCATCCGAATTGAAATTTAGGCTGCTAAACTTCATTGCAAATAAGCGCAGTTAGAAAATAATTAGTGGAAACGAGGAAAAGCCGATTATTAAATGCATTAACTCTCTAAAAAAGACGCAATTCTATTCCGAGGCTTTATGGATTTGTGGGTTTTAATGGCAACAGGTTTTCATCCGTGGGATCTGGCTATACGTGATTTCACTAGCAATTTAGCATTATTTTTATAGCTCGATTTTATTCTATGATGATATTGAAGACTTACAGCACTTCATGCAAGCACGTTTTGGTTCCATTGATGTTGCGAATTTCCGAAACAAATCGAGGTTGTTATTTGACTAGCTGGGTAGCCACCGATTTCCATCCAAAAAGAGAACGTTCTTGCTTGATATGTGAGTCACATAGGAAGCCGAATGCTGATTTTGTACGTCAACAGTGCCGAATAAATTATTTTTAATAATAAAGTATTTGCATTGTGTTTGTAACAAGAAAGTGAGTGCTGTGTGTCTAACAGCAGAACCGCAGGTAGGTACACAGGCTGTGTAAAAGTCCAAATTCCAAGAGCTTTCTATAATTAAGAACCATTCATTTAAGGTCACCCGCTAATCTTTTGGTTGGTTCTTTGAATGGCGATGAAAACATGCTCAAAACAAAGAAGAATCAAACGCGTAGAATCAAGAAAACTATTACTTCCACTAGTTATAGGCAGTTAACTGGAGCTAATGTTCCAATTTATCTTGCTAAAGTTTAATTGCATATAAATGAACCAGTACAACTTGGACTTTTTACCCCTAATAATAAGGAATAATTGGCGCAATTTGAAATGTCAATCAGGCTATTAATATTTGCTTTTTCTCTGGTTAGCACTTTTTAAGAAAGTGTCTTATTTGCGGCTTGAGAATGGCCGCCTCCTCAGCTATTCTCGTCGAAAACGTTGTGAAGACTTATGGGTCCAAGGTGATTCTTGACGAATTATCCATCAATGTGGAACGAGGCACGATGTAAGTAGGTTTAAGCGTAGCCAATATTTTCAGCACATAGTACATATACTGGGTGTTCGTTTGATGGGATGGTCTCTTTTGAGTTAAGACGTTTTTTTGTAAACTAGAGTTTTTGCTAGCTAATCTTATCATTTTCTAACCACTAACAACTGTTATGGATGCACCTTGAACAATCGGATTATGTGATCAATGGGAAACATAGATTTCCGCAAAAATGCTTGAAGAAAGTGGATTTTGCACAAATTATCGCAAGTTTGCTTCAACCAACTCAATGAATGTGTTATAGTTTAACTATACGAGGATGTAACCAAAGAAACATTTTGCTTGATTACGATAATATAGGGGGTTTTTATTTATATTTGAATTTGATTCCATAATTTCAACAGTTTTTATTGAAGGTTCGCAAAAAGTGGAAATAGTGAGTTTTGGGTGGTGGAAAATTCGAATCTAAACCTAGCATTAAGGTATCGGTTACTGTTTAGTTATTATCCGCCACAACTTTTTTGACTTAAAACCGTCTTAATGGTGTTAGAACCAGAGTCTATTAATTGCCAGCTCGTCTAAATTTGAAAAAAATGGATTTTGAGCTGTTTTCTCAATTTAATTTGCAAACCAAATGTCTACTCTCTCTCTGTTGTCTCTACTGATGATTCTACAAAGAAAAACTACAACCCTAGTTGCCATCTACTTCTACAAAATGATGTCCGGATTGCAACCGCAAAAATTTTTTAAAATCCCGTTTTTTACATAAAAACTCTTTAAAAGTGTAGATGTACAGCCGCAAGTCTGGTAACAATAGTCTTGATTTGAACCATTTACAGCCTGAAAGGTGCTGGACGGCAAAAAAAACGTCTAGCAAAAAATAACTTGTTTAAAATTGAAAAGGTGGAAAAGCAGCGCAAAATCTAAATGTTAAAAAAAACATTAAAAAGTAAAAAATGCCCATAGCCGGAAGGATTTAGCCCCTGAAAATCCCTAATACGAATAGTCTGGCAAAAATAATGTGTTTACATCTTAAAATATAGAAAAACTGCGCGAAGTTTGTTTAAATGGCTGGCCAGGATCACTCACCTCCTTAAGGTGCCGCTAGATCATCACAAAGTAATGAAGAAGATTCACTTATCTTACTACATCGCAACCAGGGGCAAAGTAATGCCAAACAAAAAGAAAAAATCTGTAGCATAGCAGAAAATCGATCGATAGCGAATTTATTTGAAATCAGCAAAGATAAGAGAGGAAAATATAAATAATCCATAGCACTTCACTTGCTTTTTGAAAAACTAAACTCAGTTCAAACAAAGAGATTTATGGATAAGAAACCTTTCTTACCAGCTTTCTGCAAGCTGGCGCCCGATCCTCCAGTCCATCCCTTAATTCAAAAAAAGTTAACACTACACTTGAAAACACACAATGAAAACGCATTCCGATTTAAAAGCTTTAATCCAGCGGTAATTGAAAGATTAAACTACCACAATTGCCATAGGGGCCACCACGATACACCTAAACTTTCTGTGTATCGTGGGGGCCACAATGATTCTATATTTCCATATAAGAACGCGATTCACACGGCACGAAAGACCGGCGACTTATTTCGTCCATTCCCTGTAATAAACTGAACATTCAGGCATGATTCAGGCAGGTTTACGAAAAAAAATAGGCGATATACAGATTCCACATGATTACATAATCGCTTGCTTGCTAGCCCTTTGGGTGACTCATTGCTTTGCTTTGCAGTTCGATTTCAATTTTTTCATTATTGGCAATTTTGTACAAAGTGCGTGTTCGCACGGCAATATGATCAAAAACATGTTTCCTATTCCAACTGGTTTTGCTACCCTAAACAAAAGAGTGAGGGATAAACAAATCAGATGTTGGGGCCCATTGGACCCATAAAATGCTACCAAATCAGTCGTTTTATTCGATTTTTAGCAAATATGGAATCATTTAAGCTTGATTTTGTGCAAAGGCAAATGACAGAATCACATTCAACCCAAACTCATAATTTATTAACGTTTCTTTGCTCGCATCATTATGAGCTACGGAATCCGTTGTTTGGTTTTGGCAACATTTTTCCGATCTTTTACTCGATTTTTCTGAACTTTCGAAGTTTCAAAGGTTTGTTGGGTGAAGTCTACTTAAATGGCTGGTCCAGATTCAAGCCGTGCCAGGATCTGTGACTGCCTTTCTTTCCACCCAGCAGAGATTTTAACCCAGATAGCACAAAATATTACATACATATTTAGGAAATATTTATATGTCTGCTAAATATTTCAGATCAAAAGCAAATATTTCTTAAATATTATTTTTTAAATATTTGTTTGTAATATTTAATTAGCATGAAACAAATAAGTTATTAATAATTTTCTTATTACATAATACTTTTTGTACCTATATATAACAACCTTAACACGCAAAAAGTTACTAATATATTATTCTTAATAATAAATGTGAACAAACTTTAGAACATATTATCTGAATTTTCATTGATCAATACATAGCAAATATTTCAGAGCAAAAGGAAATATTTTTTAAATATTAATTAGAAAATTTTTGTTTCTAATATTTAATTAGCATGAAATAAATAAAATAATAATAGGTTTTCTTAGTACGTAATACTTTTTGTGTCTATATATAACACCA